GATGAGGTGGTGGCTGACCTCAACTCTCAATTCCAGCCCATGAACAATGGGGATTGGGCCTAGAAGAAGACACAAAAGGCAAGGCAGGGACAGTCTCAAATGGATGCCTTTTTGGCAGAGTTCAACAGTTGGAAGCTTATGGCAGCCACTTCTGATGATGATCTGGCTATCCTGTGCCTTGAATAGGCAATAAACCTGGAGGTGCTCTGGCTCATGCACCACTTGGAAAAAAGAAAGGACATGTACAAGGAGTATGTAACAGAGCTCTGGCTGGTGGACAGCAATTTTGAAAACCACCACTACATGACAGCCTCCTTGTCAAGGGTGTGGCCTCAAAACCATCCTTGTGGCTTCTTGGCCACAGGAATGCAACCTGGAGCTGGCACTCCCATGGACATAGGCACTGCTCCACACCAAGGAAAGGGGAAGGGACCCCCTAAGGACAAGTCCCATATAACCTGTTTCAGATGTGGCCTACAGGGCCATTACTGAAGCAAGTGCCCTAAACAGGCACAACCACAAGGATGCCCTGTCAGGGCTGTAAGTACTGACACTGGACCTGACCCCCACCTAAAAGCAATGGAGGGTATGAGCTTCAAGCAAACCATCACTCATATCAACTGGTTAAAAGAATTGGAACTGCAGTGAAATCAGGTCCTGCAGACTCTGGCATATGGACACTTATTCCTGTTTCTCCTTCTTCTTTTAGTTACAGATTTCATTCTACTTATGGACTTAAAGATACAAAAGAAAATACAAAAATCAAAAATAGAAATATCAAAAATAGTGTACCAGTAGTTTCTTTCAATTGTTTCTCTTCCCTTAATGTCAAAGAACCACAAGAGTTATTTAATGGTTCAGATTCTGTTTCTTCTTCTCTTACTTTTATGTCATCTGAAGTGGAGTCCTGAAAGGGCTTGGGGCCAGATGTAAAACCATGCCTGCTTAATTCTGCTTGCAACAAAAAACAAAAAAATGTTTCTTTCAATCTCCCAGAACTGGAGGGTAGTAGTGCAAAGACCACTGTATGGTCTGAAACCTGACACACACTGAACTTGAAAGACTCTGTGGAGGTCCCTTTGGTTTTGCAAATGAATGCCAGTTTGGTGTTCAAGGTTAATGTGCTGCTTGACAGTGGCACTGCTGGAGTATTTATAGGTGAGGACTTTGTTGAAAGGAACTGGATTCCAAAAATAGCATTGCCAAGGGCAGTGGATGTATTTAATGTTGATGGTTTGCCTAATTCCACTGGAAGGATTGCACATCAGGCTCACCTTTGAGTTTCTTGCCTTGACCACCATGAGGAACTTCTTGCTGAAATAACCAATCTAGGAGGTAGTACCATGATCCTGGGACATACCTGGTTACATCAGCACAACCTGCTGATAGATTGGAAAACCAGTGAGGTCAAAATGGGAAGATGCCCAGCTAGATGCTGACAGCTGGCACCCAAGTCCTCATTCATGCATAAGGTGGAAAGACTCAAAAGAGAAGCCATGGACTCTTACATAACCTGGATTCAAAATCTGGGAATGGACAAACCAAAAACAGACAAAACCCCTGAGGAACTTGTTCTGAAGGCATATCACAAGTATTTATTGGTCTTTTCAGAAAAGGAGTCTGAGTGCATGCCACTTAGGAAACCTTGGGATCACACAATAGAGCTAAAGGGGTTGTTTGTGCCAAAGAAGGGAAGGTTGATCCCTCTCTCCCCTGATGAGCAATGAGAAGTCAGCAACTTCATTGATGGTCAGCTCAAGAAGGGTTATATATGGCCAAGTAAATCACTGCAAACTTCCCCCATGTTCTTCATCCCTAAAAAGGATGGCAAAAAGTGTATGGTCCAGGACTATAGATATTTAAACAAGCATACCATCAAAAACTTGTACCCTCTCCCTTTAATATCTCAGCTTGTCGACAAGTTGAAAGGTTGTAAACTCTTCACAAAGATGGATCTTCATTGGGGGTACAATAACATTAGGATCAAAGAAGGTGATGAATGGAAAGCTGCCTTTGGATGCCATCATGGTGCTTTCAAGCCCCTTGTCATGTTCTTCAGGCTTTGTAACTTGCCCACCACATTCCAGAATATGATGAATGACATCTTTGGTGATATGGAAGATGTGCTCATCATCTACATTGATGACCTAATGATATTACAAAAATGGACAATCAAGAGGAACATGACAAGATCATGCTGGAGGTGCTTAGAAGGTTGAAAGTAAATGACTTGTTTGTCAAACCACAGAAGTGTATCTTCAGACAACAAGAGGTGGACTTTTTAGGAATGATCATTGGCATTAACAGAGTACATATGGACCCTGCCAAAATCTCTGCAGTGCAAGATTGGCCTATACCTACAAATGTTTGCAGAGTTTGTGGCTGTCTTGGCCTAGTGAACTTCTACTGATGCTTCATTAAGGACTTCATGCAGATTGCAAAACCCCTAAACAAGCTCACAAAGAAGGACCTTCTGTTCATGTGGGATGACAAGTGTCAAATGGTGTTTGATATGCTAAAAGAAGCCTTTATTACCAATGCTATCCTTATGTTCCCTGATCAGGATTGAAGGTTCTTCTTGAAAATGGATGCTTCAGACTATGCCACTGGAGCAGTGCTCTCAGTAGAATGTGATGATGGTCTCTGAAGACCTGTTGCCTACTCCAGTCACTCTATCTGGGGCTGAACTTAATTATATGGTTCACAACAAAGAAATGCTGGCCATTATCTGTGCACTAGAGCAATGGTGTCACTACCTCAAGGCAACTCCATACCAGTTTGAAATTTGGATGGATCACCATAACCTCAGGTGGTTCATGACCACACAAAAGCTTCAACCACACCAAGCACATTGGGTGCAGTACTTTAGTTGGTTTAACTGTATTATAATTCATAAACCCAGAGTCATGATGGGAAGACCAGATGTCCTGTCGAGATGAGAAGACTTTGTAGAAGGAAAAGAATGGGCAAAGTCAGAGGAGTCCCTATTTATAAACCTGAACCAGGTTTGTTTGGTGAAACTAGAAAACCCCTTCATGGAGGACCTGTGGATGGAGTCCACTAGAGCCAAAGGAATTCCCATTGAATGCAAGCTCCAAGGTAGTCTTCATTATGATGGACAAAAGGTCTGGGTGCCTAGTGCACTTAGAAGGAAGCTACTTAATGCTCTTCATGACTCCCCCCTAGTGGGACATTGCAGCATAAAGGGAACTCAGGAGTTGATCACATGCTGGTTCACATGGTCTACCTTGAAACCTGATGTAGAAGAGTATGTAAAGCATTGCCAAACATGCCAAGCCAGCAAGTCTGGAAATAGGCCACCTGCAGGAGAACTCAAACCTTTACCTATTCCTGATGGGCCTTGGAGAGAATTGACAACTGACTTTATGGATCTTGGGGTAAAGGGATCCTCTGGAAAGTCCCATGTCCTGGTTGTTGTTGACAGGTTCTCTAAGGAAGCAGAGTTCATCCCCTGCACTGTGGAAGAAACAGCTGCTAGCACAGCTCACCTTTACCTGATGCATGTTTGGAAACATCATGGACTTCTGGACTCTATTGTATTGGATCAAGGCCCTCAGTTTGCCTCATCCTTCATGAAGGAACTATTTAAAATGCTAGGAGTACAGCAGGAACTCTCCATGGCCTTCCACCCACAAACAGACAGACAAACAGAGTGGTTGAACTGCAAAATCCAACAGTACTTACAGATGTATGCCAACCAGCAGCAAGCTTGCTGGGAGGAATGGCTGCCTTTGGCTCAGTTCATGTATGACAACTCTGCGTCCTCTTCTACTGGTAAGTGGCCCTTTGAAGTTACCCATTCCTATAGACCTAGGATGGGTGTCAAGCTGACAACTTCGAAGGTAGAAGCAGCAGAGGAAGTTGCCAAATCAAATCTTGGTTCCAGGTGTTCCAAGATGTAAAAGCAAACCTCACCAAGGCATGTTCCCAGCAGAAGCAACAAGTGGATAGACACTGCTCCATTTCCCCTCCTTACTCCATTGGATCACAGGTCTGGCTCACTACAGACCATCTGTCCTTAAAGGAATGGCAGAGCCATAAACTTTCTGAAAAGTGGATCAGACCATATGAAGTTCTAGAGGTACTTCTGAATGCTCTTAAGTTAAAGTTGCCACATAACATGAGGACTCATTTGGTTGTGAATGTCTCACAGGTTAAACCCTATCTTGGTGCTCTTGATGGGCAGCCTGTCAATAGGCCAGGACCCCAGAGGGTCACTGATGAAGGAGATGTTGAATACAAGGTTGAATATGTTGTTGACTTCTGTTTGAAATGTGGAGCCCTTCAATTCCTTGTGCATTGGAGGGGATATCCAGAAGAAGATCATGCTTGGGAGCCAGCCTCTGCCTTGAAGAATTTGCAGTCAGCAATCAAGGATTTCTACTGATCCCACCCTGGGGCCCCCCATAAATTATCTCTCCCTTTGTCAGACAGCTTTGACAGCTTGTTCACACCCATTCTGGAACTGTTTACTACTGTTCATCCTATTTGGTCTCACCTGGAAGTTGAGCCTTAGGAGGGGATAGTGTAACAACCAGTAGATTTTTCACTTTTATGTTTCCTACTTGCCTGAATGTATCCACCCTCTGGTTAGGGTTAAGCTTTAAGGATGCTTAGTCATCTTGGACTTTTCCTTTTGCTTATCCTGTCATGCTTACATGATACTTAATAAGGCCATGCCTCATTGCTAACACATGTATGCATTTGTCCAATAGCACAGTTCTCTCTTTTGTTTACTTCTTTCTAGAATGTTCTCTTGTGGTAGTACATACAAACAGTAAGGCAGTATATAAGTCCTGTTGTTTGTTGTAGTCAGCTTCTCTAATCTAGTTCATTCTGAGCTTGTCCCTCAATCAATGGGTTCCACTCCCATTCTCTCTGGTTTGAAGTGATAGCTGAGAAGACCTTCATCTTTGGTTGCTTCAAAACCTGTACTGACACCAGCATTACAGACTGCTGTAGGACACTCTATCAAGACCATGAATGCAAGATTGCCTCCAAACAAGGATGAGGACAAGGATGACACTGATTATTGTGAGCTTGCTGCTGCTGCTGCCAATGACAACAGTCCCATCACAAGTCACCAGCCACCAAAGACATGTCCTGGAATGGACTGCAAAGAAGTGATCCCTGACAATATCTCTGACCAGCTGTCCACCTATGTCAGCCTCATCAAGGAAAGGAAGACCAATATTCATTTGGAGATGGATATCTGTATCTTAACCAAATGAGAGCAACATCAGCTTGAAGCCCTCAAGGTCATGGAGGCAAAAGGTTGGCCAGCCACAAAAATCAAGTTCAAAGATGTCCCCTCTTGCATTCTGGAAATGTATGATGAACTCAAGAAACTCTTGTTTGATGCAGAAGCACATGAGAGCCTCTGGCTCTGGACCTGTTTCAAAGCTGACCTTGAAGTGAATCATTACACAATAGTGCAATTTGCTCAAATGCACATCCCTCCAATGTCTTCAGTGATATAGGAAAACTCACACTGCAGATAGTAAGTAGTCTGCATTGTGTTCCTTGAGAACATTTAAAACTGATGACATCACAGCTATGATTCGAAAGGCACTGCAATCATTATGCACACACTACTCCAGCTATTTCCACCAATGACATCCACTGACACTTTTCAGTCTCTCTCACTTTTGCAGTACCTAACCTACTTCATAATTCCCCATGTCACCTGTCAGTTTATCACTCAAGACTTTGGCCTTTTGTCAACCATGCCTGCACACAATATCATGGTAGAAAGTAATGATGTTGGCAAACTGATTAATCCTGAGCACAATGATGATGAGGAGCTCAATCAGATCAAATGTGCAATGACATTCACTCTTAAACAGAGAAACCTCAAGGGCTGAATGATCCATGATGTTGCTAAGGCACTGGTCACACTTCAATATGCAAAGACAACTGATGTTTTAGGCATGAGTGGCATGCATCTTTTACTTTGATCTCATAGAGCTGAAAGCAATAGGATCAGTCAAACACTCACCCAAAAAGGAGGGAGCCCCTTGCATGTCTAGTGCTTCAGGTCAGCAAGAAACCATTCAGGTCCATTGAAACATAGTAATCTGACCACAGAATTACTACACACCACATTTCAACCATCCAGATTGCCACAAGCACTAGTGGTGCTTGCACAAACACAACTACAAGTCATTATCAAGTACTGGGGAAAAAGCCTCATGGCTGGTGAAGTAAGAAGGCCCCTGAGATGGTTGAACAGGATCCTCAGGCTGGGGACACTGCAGAAGTTCCCTTGCTCAACTGCCCCCCAACATGTCATGTGATATCATGTGACATCCCAACAGCATCTTTGAGGGTCTGACACATCACCCTATGTGTGTTTAATGAAACTTACATAATGACACCCTTGTAATGTTATCTTAGAAGACACAAGGGCCATCACAATGAGGCAATAAACCCATGGAGGTAGTACATACAAAAGAAGTACTGATGAGATTATTATGTATCATGTTCTGGAACTGGTGGGCAACTGTGGTAGAACAACACATTTGCAGTTGTTTGTTCCCATGTGGTAGGACTCCTTGCACATGATGAGTTCTCCCTTTGCTCATGATCCAAGCAATTCTTCATCAGCTGTATGAATGATGCCCCTTCATGCTCAATGGTATTCAACATCCTGTGGTTGCCAAACTGGATCTGGTACTCAAGACCATCTGTAAAGTCTTGTAAGGTGGTGATAAAGTGGAAAAAGCACTCTTTGAAGGTTTGTCAGTCTATCTTCTCTGCAGCTGCAGTATCAACAATGTTTCCACCAGGTTCTTCATCCTCTTTGCTCTCACTTCTCTCTCCCACCCCAATGGACCCACTCTCTGTTACTCCATCTTCCAGGCTTGAATTCTCCAATAATAGTGAGCCAACCAGTGGAACAAGCACTGCATGGGATCAGAATGGTGTAGTCCAGTTTCATTGAACCTCCAGGAAGAAAATGGGGCTAACTGGGTGTGTGACTTGGACCAAGCATTTACAGATGAGGAACTGGCTCTTGACAAATTGTGGACATGTGCACACCCACTTCTGGGTGTCTGGTTGGTATTTCAGGTTTAGGGGTAGTGTAATAGATGTTGTAGATGCCCATTGCCATTCATTTTTGAACTGCTTTTGCCATGATGACAACTCATGGAAGTGACCAGTGTCACTGAGTATGTCAGCACAAGCTTCATAACTAATATCCATACCAACAGGTCAACCTGTGGCTTTGAAAAATGGTACAGGTAGTCAACCTTTACATGCCACCAGCTGCACAACTTGGCAAGCATTCTATTATACCAGTGGGTTGTAGTATGCACTGCATCAGTAAATCACTTTTGCTGGCCAGAGCTGTCCAGAGTTGTCCAGCACTGGACAGATTCCCTAGGACTGCCAGCACACAAAGTGGTTTACTGATGTGGCTTTCCATTACTGTTGTAGTTTTCAGTCTTGGAATTTCACTTGGTGCCACTGATTGTGCCCAGAGCTCCCACCACCCCTGGAAGTACCAGTTCTCCAACAGGTATGCCCACAGTTCAGATTAGTTGTTCTCTTCACAGAACTGATATGTTTGTTTAGCAGCCCATTGACAAATACCTGCTGGACTTGGATAGCAGTAGCCTGGTATGAGTGGATGAGCACAGAAGTGTTGCTTGATCATCTGAATGATGCTATCACAGAGGTGAGTTGGACAGAAGACTTGTGATTGGGCAGTTGCTGATTCCTCATCAGGTCATTGGGTGATTGGAAGCTTGATCTTGATCATAAGCAGCTTGTCTGTGCCATTGTCACTGCTGACAGGGATGGGCTTCGAAGGGGGGCCTGCAGCATCTTGTGATAAACTTGGTATCTGAATGGACAGTGAGGGAACTTCTTCATCATTGTATGGGACTGCTTCAAGAAGGGTGCCACCTTCAAACTCTGTTGGATCTGATGTACCCAGAGGACAGAACTTAGCATTGACAAAGGTAAACTCCTGGCTTGCATGCCATGGTTTGTATGGTGTAGTTGTTAGCTTTGACTTGGCCAATTGTTCTCAAACAGCTTTTTGCAAGTGCCACCAGCAGATCTGAATCTTCATGTCTGGCCAAACTGACTGTGACATGCTGATCTCTGCCATGTACTTGTTGACATGAACAAACCATGGAGTGAGGTGATATTTGTTTCAGAGGCAGGTTGCCCAATTCTGTAATGCTCTTGTCCATTTCCTGATTTCAATTGATGTTGCAGTTGAAAGCAAACAGTATGACAACAGAAACCCACCATTATCATATTCACTGAGTATACAGTGAGGGACAAAAGTGTTGCAATGTTTGTGAGGTGTGACTTGCTGCCAATGTAGCTCAGGCTATTCTGCACAGATAATCATGATACCTATACCATTGGAAAGGGGTGGCTATAGGCTTGCCAGCAGCACTAAGGTTCAGTCTAAACAAATCAATACATGTTGAGATACACCTTATTCTTTCCAAAAGGTGCATTGCAACACTTTTGTCCCTGACTGGTGAAATAGTGAAAAGTGACCTTTTGATGGGATTGAGGGCATGAAGGATGGGAAAATATGATTACATAATAAACCATATAATCTTCCAGATGATTTGTTAGCATGTAAACAATGACAAACATTGGACTTGTACCATTAACCCTCCCTCTTTTACCACAACTCATGAAATGATCTCTCTAGCTCACATGGTCATTTTCTCAAGGAATTCTTATCAAATACTGGTGGCCACCACAGTGCCAAGGAGGTATGTGAATGGCTGCAGTGCACAGCTGAGCTACAAGCTGTCCTATTGGGTGCACTGTGTATCATGCACCCAAAAATGTACCTGCATGGATGGGAGGCAATCACACAACTCAGATCAAAGGCTGCCACATGGAAGGATGAAGATATGGAGGCTGTCTTGCCAATGTGGAACTTGGTCTACAGTTCCATGTTGGTAATGGTGAATCACACTTCACCTGCACATAAGATATGAATGGCCAGAAGGTATGGCTGGATACCTTGCTTGCTGTCAGCAACTATCTGCGACTCCACTTCTTGGTCCTGGAGCTCAGAATATTGCTGCAATACAATCTGGGCACTGTAATTGCACTTGTGGGTTCAGCATTGATTCACCAAGTCAATGGCATAGATGGCAATTGGGCATGCCTGGCATATTACATGTGAGAGAATGTCCATTAATACATTCAAGTCCTACTATGTAAGAGGCTGCACATATCAGACATAGCAATGGATTTGCAGGCAATGCAGACATAAAGACATAGGCATATTAATTTATTGATGCATATCAAAAGATGATTCTCAATGTTTGGGGTTGTCATTGTGCCAAAGTCATGGTTCATTGCATATTGATCTCTGTCATGCCAGGTGCAGTGGGAGATGATTATATCTACTCTACACAAGTATACAATTTGCATCTAGCCCCATTGGTGTACAATCCCAACATCTGCACCATGCATGTCAACCACTCGAATAATTCTTCTACTTGTGCATTAAGGTCAGGGAGTAGCACCTCTACTCTGCATGCATTGTTCTTGTAACTCTCCACCTGCGATTCCAACATCCCATGGAGGTGATCCTTGATGGGGGACTTGTCCAACGGCCAAAAGTCCTAAGTGTATTATCAGTATGCCCTGCCTATGAGAGTTGAAATTTGGAGCTTGTACCCTGTAATACCTTTGTGCAATGGTCTGCACCTCATCAGAGCACAAAACACATGAGTTGCTTGCATAGTTTGATGTGGCTGTCAACCACCATGGAGCACAAACCTGCCATCTTCCTGCAGGTGGGGAGTCCACTGCAGCAGTAACTCCATAACATTCAAGCAGGTATCAGACATCTGTGCCTCTGGAACTCAAAACAGGGCATTGCAGAAGGTTTCTTCTGTCCATCCCCCATATGATGCAGCATGTACAATGTGGGAAGTGGGAGCTGATAACAATTCTGTGTGACTGCTATTGGGATGAGACAGTCCAGTGTACTCTGAATAATAGTGTGACAATGCCTTGCAATATCTCTAGCACAGAACATTCACCATATCAATGCAGAGATTGCAATACCAGTTTGCTGGCCATTTGGCCATGGTTGGCAGTTGTACTAGGTGCCAAATGGCAGTATCAATGTGGCAGCCCATGTACATGACAATCATATCCATGGACTGACTGCTGGGCCAGGTATTGAGGTTGTGCTGCAAATTGCTGAAGGCCTATTGCAGCAAATGGGTCATAGAAGTCATCCAAATCAGTGATTTGATGGAGGGATCTCTCTGCTTCCTTGCAAAGGTCCATCCATTGTAGTACCACATAGGCAAAATCTGTTGCTGTCTGTGCCATTGCATCCACAACTGCTGGATCAAACTGGTCATTTGGGTGGAAAGGGGAATGATACTGGATGGGATGACAGGTGAGCCTAAACTGATGAACAGCCCAATATACTGCATGGGAGTCAAGTAAGGATAGGAACATTGTCTGGGGTGCTTACTGGAATGATCAGCTCCTGGATGTATGAAACCATGCACCTCCATTTCCCACTTCTCCTCATCAGACAGGTTGTGGCCTGTACTGTGTTGAGCAGCTGAATTAATTGCATTCCATGAAATGAAACTCACTCATCCAGGTGGAATATAGGTGCATAAATTTCTGTTGCAGTTGGTGCCCCTCTGCACAGAATAAAACATCCAGCTGATCTTCAAGCATTGGCACCTGGGGATTGCTGATGTCTTCAGCCAAGAATTGGGTGTCTATACTATCAATGAGAATTACTGATGGGGTTGAATGTGCCAATGAACACTTACCATCAGATGGGGGTCATGGGGGTAGTTCCAAAGATGTGTTCATGTCCATTGCTGTATTTGTCAGATGGCAATCCCAACATGTATAGAATCAACTTGACATATGGGTATCATTCCCATCTGGTGATGTGACTGAATGGTGGGAGTTGGATTCTTGTGAGGAGGGGATTGTTGGTCTCATCTTCATCAGACCATGGTGGGGGGGGGTTTGCTCCTCACTATTGTCACTTTCTTCACTAGGTTGTGGTGGTAGTACCTCCTCAGCTGCATCCTCAAGATCATCAGGAGGTGGCAGGGGTGGTGGAATGTCATTGTCAGGAGGTGGTGGTGGGGGGGAATTGGATCAACCATTGATGTGGAAACCTCATAAAGCCATGGTTGAGGTGGAAGGTGCTTCCAGCATCTGGCTATGTTGACTGTGGCTCATCAACTGTCAGATGCTTCCCACCTTTTGACCCCTCCTTGAGGGGCCTGCAGATTGTGGGGGGTCCTCCCCCCTGGCTTCAATTTGCCAAATATGAACTGTGAATGATTAATGGAATTCCAACCTCTGGGATTGAAGCATACTCCATGGGGTATTTGGTCTGCCATAGTGGATGGATGCTAAACAATTTCACTTGTTGGAAGCTGTTGCTGCTCTGAATATCAATGTTCAACACCCAACCATGGGAACATCTGCCATGAGGTGGGAGTCATGAATGTCATGTTTCTGTGCCTGGTATGAAAGATAAATGCTGGCTGCCCAGCATATAATCTGGTAGAAACACCAACAACTACATGGCAATGGCATGGGTGCCCACAAATGTGTGTGTGAGTCAAAAATGAAATGATTGGGGCCCTTTGTAACAGGGGTGGGGGATGCCCCCTGACATGACCATTGCAGCCTGAACTGAATCAATGATTTCATTGCCTCTATAATATTATATGTACATGCAGATTGAAACTCCATTTGAGATCATTGCATCCTTGCCCTCTTTCCTGGTGAAACACCTGGATCTGCCAATGTATGCTTCTGCGATTGCTTGGATGGGGGTGAAGGGACATCCACATCCAGCCAGGCAGGGGACAAACAGACCTGAGGGGATTTCCAGATGCCCTCCATCATTCCATCTCCACCACTCACTGCCAATGGCCTCTTTCCTGATTGGGAATCCATACCCTTTCCATTTTGTAAAGGAATTCAACAGCCCTCACTGGCAGTTGCAGAATGATGTTGGGCTACATCCTGTTTAGTGGGTCCAGGGTTGATGCATGCATGGCCTCCTTGCTTCAAGGAAGGATTCAGCCTTACCTCTGGCCACTTGTTGCCATGTCCATCTGGATTTGGAGGTGCATCCTGGGTGATTGGAACACTTTGCAAATGATCATCGCCCTGATGCTTGGAACCATCCTTAATCTTTCCAGTGAATTCAATCATCTCAGCTAATAAATGATGAATATGATAGCCTTGCAATGCAATAGAAACAGACCTGGCCTCCTTTTGGAAAGTGTTGGTAATTCATCTGCTGCACCTAGACCATCCAATTGATTGACTTCATCAGAATCAGACACTTCTTCTTCAGCATACAATGTGTTGGTTTCTTTCATTGCCCTCCCAGGGAATGGAGTTTTATTGCAGAACCAGCAGGTGTCTTTCTGATGCAGATCATCAGGCCAAATTGGTGCAGTTGTCTTGTGCATGAAGGGAGTTGCTTTGTGGTGCTGGTTGACCTGTGGCTGCCCATCATCCAGCAGGTCATCATCATGGTCAGTTTCAATGTTTGCAGCTATCTTCCTTTGGTGGAGATGTTTTAGGTGGGATGACTTTCCTCCATTACTGACCTGGCCATGCTGATCATGGCTCAGACCAGGCACATCTGCAGCTGCAAAGACAACCAGAGATGCCTGTTCAAAGTCATCCATGTCACTGCTGTGGACATTTTGCTGGACTGTGTTTGCTCTGCCCTTTCCATTTCCCTGCTGATCTGACTTTTGAGTCCTCCCAGCTGGGGCTTTGGATTGGGCTCAAGCAGTTGCAGGCATGCAGGACCTGGATTGCTGGTTCCTTACAATCTGAAGGGGAATGCTGCTGTCCTCTGCTGGTGGCTGCAACTTTCCACCTCAATCCAGCCACTTTTCAAAGTGAAATACATCATCCATGTTCTCTTCCTATCGTTGACACCAGAAGCTCAAAAGGTCAGTAGCCACTGAGACTGACATATGACTCAGGTCAATGGTAAAGGAGAAATTGGGTGGGAGATGTCAGGTTGCAATCATTGCTTTTTGATGCATTCTGAGCTGTTTGAATGGCACAGTTGCCATCACCTTTCTGCAAGCTTGTCCTTAAGGCCACTGATCAGTGCAACCCACATCTATGAATCTGACACTCACTGTAGTGGGCAGTCATGAACCCATGCACCATTGTCTGCAGTAAATTGCACAACAGACCTGTGATTTCACCAATCAATACTGTGCCATCTTTGTTGGTCACCAAAGAGACAGCATTAACTTTCACAGTCCTTGTGGCCTTCATGCCCAGCCATCTGTCACCTTGGGCATCTTCATCTTTGTCTGAAATTCCAGACTCCTCAAATGCTTCACTGAGGTAATCCTGCCATGGTCCCTCCAGGTTCCAAACCTCATTAGACAAGGTTCCATCTGCAGTATCTCAGTTGAAGTCCATGCTAGGAAGGGATCAGTGGTGCACAATGATGCTTGATAAAAATCAGAACCCACATGCATGCCTCCACAGTACCTTCTGCATTTTTCCACCTGGAAAAACATATGACCCACATGCCACAATACCTCCATATCTCTTCTGCAAAATTGTGGCAATACTTGTACCCATATCTTGCTGCATTTCCAAGGATCTGCATGCTTTCACAAACACTATGACAATCTGTGCATCTGAGAATTCACCTGGCTTTTATTTCAGGGGTGGGTCCTTCCATCCCATTCCATTTGTTGGCTATGTCCTCTGCTGCTGCCAACTGCTTGTCAGGGAGGTCCTCCTGCATGAATGCAGTGAGTGCCTGCTGATAGACACCAATTTTCTTGGTGCTTTCTTCATTCCCAGTGTCCTCCCTCATGCTGGTGAGTTTTCTCTGCACACAGTCATGATACAATTCCCAAACCACCAACCACATGGAATATTTGTATCCAGACCAGAGGATAATATGGGGCTTCTGGGCACACAATGGCTTCTTCAACCAAGCTGTGATGAGCTACAAGCAATTCATTAGTCTTCGAAGACCAATTCAGAGCTGCAATCACATACCCCAGCCTTCAGCTGCATTTCTGCATGTGATGACTCCATGTTCTTGTCTAATTTGTGCAGCTCCCCCAATATTGACTGCAAGATCATTGGTTGTTTCACCTTTCTGGATTCTTTCCAATCCTTCCATCTGCGAACCAGCACCTCCAATTCATTGATGTCAAAATTCTCATGGTCCCCATCCCCAGTTACTGACTGCTCAGTGCCTTGTCCAACAATGTTACTCCCATCTTCTATGTCTGTTGGGACCCAATCATCATAGCCATCATCTGCATTGTACTGCAAATCCATGAGGACTTCTGGAATGGAAGGAGGGTATCTATGGGCCCTACTACAAGAAGTATTATATTAGCCTGAAGGAAGGCATTATGGTATCCATGACATTGTTCAAATTGACTCCTGATTGCATCTCCTGCCTTGCAAATTGACTTTGCACCATCTTTCCATATTCATTGTTGGGGTTTCAGCAGCCATTAATTCCATCATGGGTGAGGTGAGCCAATCACACTCATTCTGTTGACTACTCCAAGCCATAAAAGGTTAGTGCCAGATGGGTTTAACTTGGCTGCATCAGTTTTACATTGATACTGAATCTTTGATCTATCATGCTGGGATCATTGATTGTGAAATGACTGTCAAGCTCTATCCAAGATATCTAAGATGATTCCTACCCACATCTGACTCAATCATACTTGCCATCAACACCATAGCCATGGCCAAATGCAGTGCAGGAAAGTGCATGAGAATGATCAGGTGTTGTGAGTCAAAGTGTGGGAAGGTGGTCAAAACCAACCAAAACCAACACCAAAGACAAATATGAGCAAGTGGTGGTTTACCTCCACAGAACCTGGAGGGCAGAGAAACCTAAAGTGGGGGAAATTTTGATGGCAGGTGCTCCTAGTGCAAGTCGATGATGAGTTATGCAGGAGAAGATGAATGAATGCTGATTGAGAAGGGGATGCTGAACAGAGTGAAGGTGTTCAGCTGAAAGTATTTGGGAGTAATGGACTTTGATAGAATATGCTTCTGGTGCAAGTTGATGATGAGTTATGCAGGAGTAGATGGATGACTAAGCAGACTTGCTGACTATGTGTGGATGAAGCTTCAGATAATGATGGAGGTAGAGAGACCCCTTTGTAGAGCCTCAACTACCAATGATATGAATGAAGACAGATAGACTCTTCTGAATGAGCCTCAACTGTTGACAATGAGTTATGCTGAGCTGAGCTGAACTGACTGCTGAGTGCATGGCTTCTGGTTCACTGGGGGTGTAGCTAAGTACATGGGGGGTTTATATACTGTGGGGGGAGCACAGCTTGTGACAAACAAGGCACAAACACTTGGTAAGTAATGAGTAAGGACTGAGTAATCATGATGAGTAAGCAAGAAATGAAAAGTAAGCAAGCAAAGAAGATTGGTAAGTACTGGCAATAAATGAGTCAAGGACAGTCAAAATATCACTGAATGAGTCAAATGGAGTCAGAAACTGAATAATTGCACTGATATCACATTAGGGGGTGGCGATGCAAGTCAGATCTCAGTAGAGACATCTCTAGATCCAAAGATGGCATGACAGATGGATGGTGTTTCCAGATAGGGAAGTATTAACTCCAGAATTGAAGGGCATGAGTCAGGCATCAAAGGGACTAGGGCATTGGGGGTCTGTGGGGCAATGGGAGCATAAGCAATCACATCTCCTACCCTTTCATCCTCTCAGTGAGTTAACAAAAGCTTCATGAACAGGGCTCTGACAGAGGAGGAGGAGAAGGGGGGACATCTTCTGCTGGATCTTGCAGTAAGAAGGTAAGATGCATGTCATACTCATCATGAATGTGATCAGGGAGGTGGGAGAACAGTAGACCATGCTGCAGCTGTTGCAATGTGGGAAGAATGATGGATGAGATTGGAATAAAGACAGTGCAGGAAGCAGGGAGGAATGATCCATATGCTTCATCAAGAGGGGAGACCAAAATGACCACATAAGACCTTTCTAAATGAGTGACATACCTGAGGCAACCAAAGAATGTCCTTCTGGAAGTCATACTGACAAGGAGAACATGCTGACCAAGTTGCATGGGATGAGATGGGGCTGACAACAATGGGATAAACCAGGGGGCTTCAGGGCAGAAGCTGGTGGGAATGCCTGGCAGATATATGTAGCCACTGTCTCTGGCAAATGAGACAAGTGAGACAATTGACAAAGAGGTGGCCATGATTGATGGACTTAGCAAAATGAGTGTCTGATGGATGGAGTGCTGTAGAAACACACAGGGTATGAGGATCCTCTCCAAATCTGGAAGGCAGAACTTTGTGGCTGAGCACTTTAAGTGAGTGTGAGAATGGAGTTGATATCTTTGGAAATGGTGGAGATATGATGAAAACTGGAATGCTGTACATGGGTGCTAAAAACTTTTAATGTGTGCTTAACTCACTTCCTCTTTTCTCTTTAGCACTGACAACTCATTCTTGTGCAAAGGATGACTGTTAACATCCAGCAGTCTTTCTACACATGAGGACTTTAGTCTTCATCTGCATGGCATGGGCACTGCATGCAACTCATCGACAAGTTAGGCAGAGTCAGCTGTAACCATGTCCACAACACCTTTGGTGTGTGACAGTGTATGCCTGGCCATTGGGTCAAGCATCTAGAAGTTAAAACTCAGACAACCAGTGGTCAGAGCAGATTGAGATTGGTTGAGGTCATGATCACACAACCTGATGCCACCTCTGCTGTCCATTCACCCTGCTCTTCACCATCCAGGCACTCCCACTCACCTTCCAAACAGCACATGCATACTGATGAAGATGCACTTGACATGGAATATGATGATAATGCTCCTCCTGTAGAGCCAGTACAGTTACCTTGAAAAAAGGTACCAAGGGATCCTTCATGCAAAAACCTGAGCTCATTTCTGTTCTCAGACACAGAATGATTACATCCATGAATGGCTTCCACACAAAGAGGAGTTCATGAGGGTCCTGTTGGAGCTGGAAGCACCTCCTGACCCATGGAACTACATAAGTTGTGGAACAGATGGGTTGTACAGATGTGCAGATTGCTTGCACCAGCCCATGTTCTGCAGGGAATGCTGTAGAATGACTCACCAATGCTTGCTTTTTCACAGAGTGCAGCACTGGAATGGGGAGTTCTTTGAGGAATCAGCACTCCATGTGGTGAGAGATGCCCTCATTACTTCACATTGCATTTACAGAGTGGACTCAGACTGGTGCTCAGCTGCACCTCAGGCACACCAGAGCAGCTTGCCTTTCCAATCCATCCCATGTGAATGGCACTGGAGGGCCTGTCAAAATGAATGCCCCTGAATGGGAAGATGTTGATGATGTTCCACCCCACATGTGTCAGCCCATCAGGTCAAAATATCTCACTGTCATCAATGTGCATTTCATCCCAGTATGTTGGTGCCAGTGCAAAGCTGCAGAAAGCTTCCAGCTACAATTGCTGCAAGCCAAGCTATTTCCTGCTACATTTGAAAAACTGAGTACTGCATATACATTTGTGGTCTTGGATGATTTTGTGAGAGACAACCTGGAATGTGGCATGTCCAGGAGGAACTATTACTCAAAACTGTGATGGATGACTTCTGGTGTCTTTCCTCACCTAGTTCCAGTAAGTTGTCAGACCACAATGGTTGATTGCAGGGCATCTAAGGCAGTAATATGACCAGGACAGATACTGTGAGTTGCTGCAAGTTGCAAGGCAATGGTGACTCCTGAAGCTGTTGAAAATGGAACAGCTTCCTGCAATGCGAGCAGGCTCCTAACAAAGGGGAGTTGGGGTTATTTTGTGTGGCATGTCCACAGCCTGGGATCAATGTCAACCTGGTGGAAGATCTGGATCAGTAAGTGTTGGGATTCAGCTCATCCCCCATCATTAACCTTCCAAAACTGGAAATATACCTGCATGCTAGTGATGGATGGAAATTTCAAAGTCAAACATATGCATTACAGGTGTCCTGCAGATCAGGTGTGGTTGATGGACAGCCATGGATTCATGGTCACAGATCCAGATTATCAGGCATACCTGAAGGCCACACCCCACATCATGGAGGTACATTTGTCAGACTGCTTCTGCCATTCAATTACTCATGTGTTAGCTAGAAATTGGCATGCAACAATTATAAGGCAATTAATCAGGCCAATGCCCAATGGGGCAGACTTCACTTGACTAGAATTGGTGCAACAGCATGTGCCCAGCATGGGTGTTTTTACCCACATTCTGTGGTTGACTTCCAAAAAGGGGAAAGGTAGGATATCACATCAATGATGTGCCTCCAGCTCACAGCAGTTCAGGCAGTTAAACATGGATTACTCATTGTGCTACAACATGGCAGGAATCAACCATGTCCTATGCTTCTATGACATCAACTGCTCATACATGAAAAATTTACACATGCAGGTCCAAAATAGTGCATTCATTGACATCCCAGATTCAATGCAGATTATGCCAGGAATTGGAATGTGGCATGTGCATGGTCACAAACAGGAATGCTATGCCTGACATGCACCCTTATTCATGCAAGGCACTGGGTGGGTAGATGGAGAAATCATTGAGACCTTGTGGTCACTACTCAACATTGTGTCCACTTCAGCCCAGGGCATGGGTTCCCCACACCACCAGGAGCTGTTTAATTTTCAGATCAGTGATTGCAACTTCATGAAGATGATTCACATGGGTATGAGCTTCTATTCATGCACTAACCTTCCTGACTGTTCACATTTAGTTGATAGTCTGATACAGAAACTGACAACTGTGAGGGTAGTGGCAGATATGGCAAAATGGGCATTCAAGACATTGGATGAAGCAGTGTCTGTGACACAATGTGATACATGGACCTACCAAGAGCAAGTGGCCTTCAGAGACCAAATGGTTGACCCCTCCACCATGGATATCTTTGGAGTGCAAATGAAGAAGGGTGAGGTTCACACCTGCTCCTCCTTTTGCAATACATCTGAAATGTTCATTATCCCCAACAGTGCATACTGTTGAACTGGAGTTTTTGAACAATATCACATCAAGCAGCATGCAGCATGGGATGGGAAGTTGGCTCACTCAAGGTCTCAAGTTGGAAGAAGCAGCAATCATATTGTGCATCAATCATCGCAATGTCAGTGTACATGCACCAGAGCTGAAAAGATTGGTAATTGCACAATGCAAGGAGTGCTTATTATCAGAGCAGTCAGGGTTTATCACAGATGCCACCATATACATTGGTCTACAGCAAGATGTGGGAGGTGATTGGAATCCAATCAATGAGGAAGGCAATGAACTTCGCAGTAGCTTGTGCATGTCTGATGGATATCTATTGGATGCTGAAGACCCAAACAGAAGCTCTGATGAAATGCTCACAGCCAATACCACTGACCTTGGAGGGATAGCCATGTTGCCACTTCCATCAAATGTTGGAATGGCTGCTTTCCATTCCTGCAATTCAGACCATCTCTGTGATATGGAGCTGAGGCTCCAGATCAGTCAAGCAAATGATGCACTAAACAGGCTTTGGCTTGCATTGGTGGACAAGGCTGTGGTCTTCTGGAATGTGGTGTGACATGTCAAAAGCTATAGTATGAAAACATGCACATGGGATGCAATCCATACAATTAACAGAGCAGTTTGGAAGCAAGCCAAAATATACAAGCAATGCCAAAAGGCAATGGTCACTCTAGGTGTGAGTGCCAAGACCCTTACCCATTACCAGCAATTGCAGACATCAGATCTCACTGTGACCACAGCTGCCATAACTCAGAATGCACATACACACTGGGTCAGCAATTTGCCTTGGTTTTGGTCTGTTGATGTTCTGACAGATATGGAATCCATCACTTGGATGTTGGAATGTATGTCTTTCATCTATGTATGTATAGATCAATGTTGACTTTACACATAGTTTACTGGACTCATTGGCTTTGAGCCAAAGCAGTGCAAGACCATTGGTTGGAAGAGGAACAGTTGCTGACAGCTGAATTTCAATGGATGATCAATTACTTCAATTATTGAGCCATCCAATGGTGCACCTGCTGCTTGGAATGCAATGCACTTGGCACCAGCTGTTACTCTGTGAGGCAGATAGCAGTGTATGAGAGGCTTTCAGAGCATGAGCTTGAAGTATATCCCAACTTCAATGGATATTGATGCTAGCAATGCATAGCCATAGTCAGATGAGTGTCTATCACTCAATATATCCATTCAGGTCAAGTTCATTGATAGAAATTCAATTATAGTTGTGGAAGTTCATATCAGCCTTAAGCAATCTTCCATTTTCTGTGATCCAAGCATATCTTCCGAATGGTACTCAAATAGAAGCAGTATGGAATTGTCAGGATATGACAATATAGAAGGTGGGTATCATAACAGCAAACCTATCTCTCTACTGTGAGGGGGGGAACTCTGTATCGCTGAATACACCTTGGACATATCTACCCATCACACCTACATCTTTGCTCTGGTGCTCCCACTCCAACCCCACTGGGCAATCTGCCAGGTTGGCCCTTCCATGATATGAGTATACCATGCCCTCAACTGGCTGAAGTCCTCTGTTGGTCTGGCCAGTGATGTTTGACTGGATTGGCACTCCTTGGGAGGATTGCAGCAAATATTCAGGATTGTTGAGGCTGCTGTTGTGACTCACATTGCACCTGGTCATGGTTCCCCATCTCCAGGGTGCCCTTGATCAAATTGGCCCTCTTGCATTGCCATGGACTCAATGGCCAGGTCACCTTCCAATTTGCTCATCTCAGCATTGCCAGGATGTACCAAACCCACCATTGCATCATTCCCATCATTGCTTGGGGGAGGTGGTGCAACAAGTCCAGAAGTTGGATCGTCAGGAGGAGGTAGTCAACCCACAGCCAATGCAACAACTTCCAACTGCAAAGCCTCAATGGCCTGAATCACACTATCCAACCTTTGGTCCAACACTGTCTGATGTGACAACAATGCTGCATATTCATCAGTGATCTGCCTCACCACTGTGTGTACCTTCTTCTCAGACAACTTCTGATGGGACATCACCTCTGCAATGTCATTGGCCATGGTTCACATCTGTTCTTCAAACAGGCCAGGCATAGCAGCTTGTTGATGACCATTGAAGACATTCAGCCTTGTTTTCACTTCCAGCATTTGTGCTGATATTGTGTCACAGAATTGAAAGAGCTGGTTGAGCTTGTTGTGGACATTAACTTCAAATAGTGATGACAGTTGTCACTGAGGTGTTGGAGCAGATGGCAGGTTGGGGACTGATGGGATGGGAGTGGAATCAGTTGCTGTATGTCAATTACATGTCAGATATTTCAAGCCTGTCATGAATAGAGGAAGCACAATGTATGATTTGTTCCTCCAGAGGTTGCAATGGCAGATGGTCCAGCTGCTGGAGTCGTTGTGAGGCTATGCTGGTCACTTACTGGACAAGAGACTTGGGTGGGATTTGGAGCTGGCCTTACTGGGAGACAGATTACTGCCATGGGACTTATCAGTTCAGTTCTTCCAGAATGGGTGCATGTACTTACCAGGCCATCCATGGGGAATCATTACAACTGGGTGGGACCAGCTTTGTGGAGGACATTTGCTTGCATTGGAGGTGCAAGGTTTCTTTTGTGGGCAGGTCACCACATAGTCTGCATTGTCATCATCATTAGCATCTTCATTGTCAGGGTGCAGGCAGCTGCAAGACCTTTTCTTGGTTTGTGCATGGGAGGGATTCCATTGTGAGGGAGTGGCAGGTGTTTTGTCTCTAGGCAGACAGGGAGTTGCAAACGTGCACTGGATCCTGCATTTTTTGCATTGCTGACATGCATCTCTTGGTTTCCAAATGCAGGGCATGTGGGCATCAGTACACTTGTCACAACAATTTTCACTGGGAACTGTGGTTGGCCCAGATGGGTCATTGCTGGATGGACCTGATTGCCAGTTTGACTCCTGCCTCACCCTGTCAATTGAGGTGTTGGACAGCTAGACATCCTGGCCTGTCCATGTCCATGTCCCCCTCCTGATCCTCTTCCTCATCCAACTCATCAGCTTCCTCCTGCTTGACTAGGTTTTGGTGTCTGAGACAGCCAAGCAGGCTGGCATGAGCCAGAAGCAGCTACTTGTTGCATTGATGGCCATCCCTGAGCAGGCTCATAGTGAATGGTATCCCCTCCCATCTCTGCATCCTCATCTGCCAGTTCATCCTCCCCATTGTCATCTCCAATCATCACCTTCACTTCAGCATCCAATGCCTTTTCTTTCCCTTTACAACTCATAGCCTTTGGTAGTGTTTCCAACAATGGTTCTGCAGCAGGTGGGAAGGTAGACATCTTGAAGCCAGTGTGCTGCAAGTAGAAGTGCCTTTCAACTGTCTGCAGCCATGGATTGTCATCAAAGGTGGCCTTGTCTGTGTGCATGATTAGTCTCCACTTCGGAAATGGGAGACCCTCATTCTCCTGTCCAACCCTCTCATGCCATTTGCAGAACCTTTTGGCTGCAATGATGGTGAGTGGGATCTCATGCACCATCCTCACAATTTCACACATGGAATCCTATATTCCTCAGAGGTGCAACACATCAGTAAATCACTTTTGCTGGCCAGAGCTGTCCAGAGCTGTCCAGCACTGGACAGATTCCCTAGGACTGCCAGCACACAAAGTGGTTTACTGATGCATGTGGGATGATATTCAGACTTACCACTACTTCCACTACCCTTCTCACAGCCTCCTTCCAAGCTGCAAACCTCAGCTTGTCAGCCAAGTCCTTCATTCCATGGACTTGCCAATCAATGATTTCAATGATGGAGTTCACTGCAGCTGTGAGCTTGTCATGTTTGGTGTAGATCTTCATTGCACTGTTGAGATGGACACAGGTAAGGTCAAAGCTGTTGGTGTGAGGTACTTTGTGGGAAATAATGCCAATGGAAGATGCGATGTGTAAGTTCTGCACATTTACTTTGTGTTTGTTGTTCCCTGAAACCTTCCCACAGAGTATCTATATCAACATGTAATACCCCATTTGCTACAATGTGGAAAGAATAGATTGCAGTACAATCATATTACCACTTAATTAATAGTAATTACAATAGATTGGTGAAAACATCAGGACTTACAGACTGGTCTCAAAGTTGCAAAATCAATTCATTATGCCAGCCATCCTGTGCATGGGATGTGACCTCCAACAGAACACACGGAATACCACCTATGATCACTCAGAACCATGAGAATATCTTCTGCATCAATGCGACCTATTTTATGGCCCAATACATTTGATCCCACATTATTATCAACATAGCTATGGGTCCATCTGTATTTGTCAATCTGCCTGATCATCCCATCATTGGACCCATCCATTTGATCCAAACTGGTTCATGCCATATTGACAGCCCCATCAATATGATGCATCATAATACCTCAATATGGCCAATGGGCCCATTTTTATGCATTAATCAGCCTAACCACACCATCAACAGCTCCATTTATTTGATCTGACATGATCTACAACATATATACTGGCCCATCCATATGTGGTGATCACACAGATGATACCATAGATGGGCCCATTCATGTAATGTGATATCATCCAGCCTTAGTGATGGGCCTGTCTATATGATGCATCATAATGCACAGATATGATGGACAGGCCCATGTGTATATGTCACTATGCCTGATAATACTCTCAACAGGCCCATCCATTTGATGTGACATTATCCATGCCTTAGTGACAGGCCCATTTATATGATGTGTCATAATGCACACATATGATGGATGGGCCCATTTGTATGTGTTGCTATGCCTGATCATACTCTCAATGGGCCCATCTATATGATGCATCATAATCCACAGATATGACAGATGGGCCCATCCATTTGATGCAACATTATCTGTGCCTTAGCAATGGGCCCATTTATATGAAGCATCATAATCCACAGATATGACAGATGGCCTTATGTGTATGTGTTGCTAATCTTGATGATACTCTTGACAGGCCCATCAATTTGATGAGACATTATCTGTGCCTTAGTGACAGGCCCATGTGTATATGTCACTATGCTTGATGATACTCTTGATGGGCCTGTCTATTTGATGTGATCTCATCCATGCCTTCCTGATGGGCCCATCTATATGATGTGTCATAATGCACACATATGACAGACAGGCCCATTTGTATGTGTTGCTATGCCTGATCATACTCTCAACAGGCCCATCCATTTGATGTGACATTATCCTTGCCTTAGTAATGGGCCCATTCATATAATGTGTCATAATACATGGATATGACACAGGCCTGTGTGTATGTGTTGCTATGCCTGATCATACCCATGATGGTCCCATTCATTCTATGCAACCTTATCTACCACCTGGTGACAGCTCCATCCTTATGCATTGCCTGCCCAATGATCCAATGATACTATTGACAGGCCTGTCCTTATGCATTGATCTGCTGGATCATACCATCACCAGGCCCTTTCATTTGATTCAACACCATCCACAATATGATGATGGGCCTGTAGCTATCTCTTCATCTGCCTGATCATACTCTCAACTATCCTGTCCATTCAATTCTGCATTATCTACATCATGGTGATGGGCCCATCTATATCATGTGCCATAATCCATAATATGTCTGACAGGCTGTCCAGCATCATCAGTGATATCATGCACAGGCCTGTCCATTTGATGCAACACTGTCTGCAATATGCTGGATGGGCCAGTATATATGTTGTGATCTGGCCAATCAAACCATCAACAGGCCCATCTATTTGTTCCCATGTCATTTGCGATGGGCCCATCAATTTGTTGTGATGCTGCATCCCCCAAATGTCAGAAAGGCCTGCACATAGTTGTGACAGCTCTGTCATGGGCCTGCTCTTATGTTGCCATCACTCTGGGTCCTCAGGCCTGTTTATGTGTCACAGCTTAATTTGACAGGCCTGCACTGGGCTTTATATGAGTAATGTTAATTTGGCACACAGACTACCCATATGTTGTGACTAAGCATGACTACACCATGTGTCTGCACAGTTTCATACTACAATTCCTATCAGTGCCACCTCTGTGGAACTTACTAGGGCACACTTACCTGCTTCCTCCCAGCTTTGGATTCATCCACTAACTCCAGGGAACTCAGACTGTGATGTCCATTCATGGGTGTGGATCCTGACAAGAACCCAGGAGCAGGGGGACCAGCATGGTGAGGTTCTTCTTCCTGCTTCTGCTTCCTAGCCTTGCTAAGCCTGTCTGCTTCTTGACACCTTGGGCAGGTCCTGTTTGAGTCATCTGGTGGGACTTCTCTTGTGCATTCTGACTTCGAGCATATGTGGTGGTTTGATGGGGTGGCTGCATTCATATTCACTAATATGGCATATGTAGTGTATCACCATGAAGTGCTGTAGTTTTTTTTTACTACCTTGTCCACACTCAAATGATCATGTGATATCCCTAATTTAGAATACCACCAGCATGTCACATGATGTCATGTGACATGTCAGGGGGCAGTTGAGCTGGGACAGTTGATGCTGCAGTGGCAGTCAACCCACTCTCCTATCTCTTGGTTGGCTCGCTAACAAGGTTGATCCTGACATAATTCAAACACAGGCTCAACATACACCCCAAAGTGCATGATCAAAACATTAGGTCCACATCCAAATCCTCCTCCCTCACACATTTTCAATCACTGCTGCTCAATCACTCTCATTTGGCTGTTGTTGCACTGCCAGCTGCTCCTCCTCAAATTTCAATTGCTTTCGCCAGACTGTTTTCATTTCTATCACTACTGTGTTGCTCGGTCTTGCTAGCTCCTGCTGGAGTTGTGATGGATTACTGACACTTTCATGGAATACCCCATTATATGACTGTGCTGTAGGTGTCTCTGTAACCTCAGGTAGTGTTTGAAATTGCAATTTTGTGATTTGCCTGGTTATTTCCACGACAAGTGGGACATATGTAAGCAAGCATGAAAACCCATGCTATCAAAGCGGAAAATGAGCACTCGCCTCAACGTATTACAGTGTTGCGACGTGGAAGAACAACTACAAGGCAGTGTTATTCAGTACTTACGATGTTTTTTTTTGGTGACGAAGACACTATTTTTTACTAGACCAGATGGGCACTTCAGCATCACATTATGATGCTGAAATTCAATGACTGACACTGATCTTCAGCTGCTCCGACACTTAATAGAAGTGATTTGGACATTTATTTTTAGTGATTTTACTTTTTCCAGTGTCGAGCCGAAACCCTACAACTTGCTCATGTATGTGCAATCTGCTCATTGACCTGTGTGGTTCAAGGGCATGCAGAGTTCTTTCCACAACATTCACAATGTCTCATGCTTAAGTAGTGGATCAATCTGAACTACATATTCGAGTTGTAGAATGTTACAGTTTAATCGTATACAAGAAGCCGTCATAACCCTTTTTATCGGCTGTTGCGATTGTTGTCGCGTCCACTTCCTTGTCCTCTTTCAACATTCTTAACAATGTACGAACGCCCTCGACAGCGGAGTCATCGGCATATATGTCCTTGGAAGGGTTTGGACGACAAGCAAAGCTCTCATCAGCAACCCGGCCTTTCCGCACGACATTGTCCATGATCTAACGACCAATTATGTGGTATGAGTGGTGGAAGAAATCAATTAAAGATTCATGAGATACTCACGATGACACCATGCTTCCGGACTAAGCGTTTCGCCTCGAGAAAGTAATTAGGGTAGCTTTGCTTGTCAGCGTCGATGAAAACCAAGTCAAATGGCTCCTCTGTTGGAAGCCCCCTAAGGCTTTCGTTGGCGTCTCCAACCACTACTCTGGCGTTTCGTATTCCTGCTTTAGCTAAATTCTCGCGGGCAACCTGTGTTCATGCCACCGGATCAGTTGATGCATGCGTGCAGAGGCATTTGTAGAAATACTGTACGACGTTACCTTGGCGTGGGCTTCTGATATCTCGAGCGTGATCAGTTCGCCGTCCTCTGGGAGCCCCTGGGCCATATGAATAGTCGAATATCTGGGGCGCCAGATAAAGCGAAGTGAATGATTAGCCCTGTTTCGGACGAGTGAAGGTGAGGGAAGCAAAACACTCACCCACCGAGTGTTCCCATTTCGAGCACTCTCTTGGCACCCATAGTAAGTACCACGAGTTTCAGGAATTTGCCCTGGGAGGCGGAAACTGCAATATCTGGAAGTCCATTCTCCGCGCTATGTTTCAAGGCATGCTCCAATCCCCCGTCCGGATGAAGCAAGAAGGAGTTGTGATATTCTTCCGATCTGGCGAAAGTCTCTAGGATTTCTTGAGGTATCTCGACAATTGTCGGCGCCATTGCTGAGCGCTGAGGTACAAATAGTTGGGTCGCCTACTTGCTGCTGCCAGCCATATCCTCGAAGTTTTATAGGAGATGTTGGGCGCTATGGTATCCAAATAATCCCAGGATGGGGAGCAGTCCTGGTCTGTTTTCAGCTTCTGTTACACACGATCATGACGGTCCGAGCTCCGAGTGACCGTGGGAGGGCGCAACGGTCTATTGGTTTTCGCTGTAAGGCACTTTCAAGGCTCCTGCCTTTGAAATCCGAGTTGTGAATGTTTTCAACGTGACGAGTATGTGACGTCATCTGCTTGCAAATATCGCAGTTCGTAGGATATTACAGTTTAATCGCATACATGAAGCCGTCGTAACCCTTCTCATTGGCTGTTGCGATTGTTGTCGCTTCCACTTCCTTGTCCTCTTTCAACATTCTCAACAGTGTACGAACGCCCTCGACACTGGAGTCATCGGGATATACGACCTTGGAGGGGTTTGGACGGCAAGAAAAGCTCTCATCAGCAACCCGACCTCTCTGCACGACATTGTCGATGATCTAACGACCCGTTTAAGCGGTATGAGTATTAATTAGTTAAGAATACGTGAGATACCCACGATGACGCCGCGCTTCCGGACCAGGCGTTTCGCTTCGAGAAAGTAATGAGGGTAGCTTTTCTTGTCAGCGTCTACGAAAATCAAGTCAAATGGCTCCTCTGTTGGAAGTCCCCTAAGGCTTTCGTTGGCGTCTCCAGTCACTACTCTGGCGTTGCGAATTCCCGCTTTAGCTAAATTCTCGCGGGCAACCTGTGTCCGCGCACCGGATCAGTTGTTGATAGATACGTGCGGAGGCATGTTTAGAAATGCTGTAGAACGTTACCTTGGCATGAGCTTCTGATATCTCGAGCGTGATCACTTCACCGTCCTCCGGGAGCCCCTGGGCCAAGCAAATAGTCGAATATCTGGGGTGACAGATAAACGATTAGTCCTGTTTCGGCCGAGTGGAAGTGGGGGAAGCAAAACACTCACCCACCAAGTGTTCCCACTTCGAGCACTCTCTTTGCACCCATAGTAAGTGCAACGAGTTTCAATAATTTGCCCTGGGAGCCTGAAACTGCAATAGGTGGAAGTCCATTCTCTGCGCTATGTTTCAAGGCCTGCTCCGATCCCCCGTCCTGATGGAGCAAGAAGGAGTTGTGGTATTCTTCCGATTTGGCGAAAGTCTCTAGGACTGCTTGTGGTATCTCGACAATTGTCGACGCCATTTCTGAGGTACGACTAGTTGGGTCGCGTACTTACTGCTGATAGCCATAACTTCGAAGTCTTATAGGATATGCTGGGCGCTACGGTATCTGAATATTGTGGCTCTACTGAGCCCATGTTACTGTTTAGCCGTGGGTTAGTCATGAATATCATTCCATCAACTGCGCATTGTTGGTGATTATACATACAGTCATTAATTCGCACTTATTCTAGCTATTTTCAGTACCAAGTGCGGGGCCAAATACTGTAACCTGAGTCATTCCTACTGGAGTGCAGTGGTTCGATGGCGTACAAGGCTTCTTTGCACAACAATCACACTGCCTCATGCTCAAGTAATGAATCAATCTGAACTACATATTCGAGTTGTAGGATACTACAGTTTGATTGCATACAAGAAGCCGTCGTAACCCTTCTCGTTGGCTGTTGCGATCGTTGTCGCTTCCACTTCCTTGTCCTCTTTCAACAACTTCAACAGTGTACGAACGCCGTCGACAGTGGAGTCGTTAGGATATACGCCGATGGCGGGAGGGCGCGCAAAGCTCCTATCAGCAACCCGGCCTTTCTGCACGACATTGTCGATGATCTAATAACAACCCGTTTAAGTGATATGAGCGTTAATCGGATAAGGACACGTGAGGTACCCACGATGACGCCATGCGTCCGGACTAAGCGTTTCGCTTCGAGGAAGTAGTTAGGGTAGCTTTGCTTGTCAGCGTCTACGAAAATCAAGTCGAATGGCTCCTCTGTTGGGAGACCCGCGAGGGTTTCGTTGGCGTTTCCAACCAGCACTCTGGCATTGCGGATTCCCGCTTTAGCTAAATTCTCGCGCGCAACCTATGTTTGTGTCACCGGATCAGTCGCTCGAGGGAGTCATTTATAGAGATACTGTAGTAGAACTTTATTACCTTGGCATTAACTTCCGATATCTCGAGTGTGATCAGTTCCCCGTCTTCTGGGAGCCCCTGACCTATCCAGATTGTCGAGTATCTGAGGGGTCGGAACCCATAGTTAGAGCTGTTCTGGCAGTGGGAAGTTAGTAAAAGTAAAAAACGCACCCTCCGAGTGTTCCCACTTCGAGCACTCTCTTCGCCCCGATAGCGAGCACCACGAGTTTCAAGAACTCGCCCTGGGAAGCTGGAACTGACATATGATGCATAAGTCCGTTCTCTCTAATGTGCTCCGACGCATACTCCAGTCCCTCGTCTGGACGGAGCAAGAAGGAATTGTGATATTCATCTGATCTAGCGAAAGTCTCTAGAACTTCTCGTGGGATCTCGGCAATGGTCGACGCCATTTCTTTGAGGTACGAGTGGTTGATTGGGTTACTTACTGTTGACGACCATGCGTTAGATGTCTTATAGGAGATGCTAGACGCTACGTATCCAATTTATCCAGATGAAATTTTGGGTCGAGTTCGAACGGTTGGCAGATTATCCAACCAAAGTCATACCTTGGATGGCTTTCAAGTTACCGAGCCGTTAGGCCATGCTAAATTTGGACGTACTTGCACTGATGGAATTCCCTCCATCACGCCCCTCTCGGTCTAGCCCCAGCACTGTACTTGAACAACCTTGACTTGTAAGTTGTCTGCTCCCTTGGCGTGAATAGTATCAGATAAAGTTCAGTTCTACAACGCGTGCTCCTAGCACTAGTGCTGTAATAACACAGCCGTCGTGGCGTTGCTATCTTGAACACGGTAAATATAGCAAAGTTGGCCGGCTGGCGAGGCCCATCGATGAACGTGGACATCATCGCCGTTCATGTACATGGTGTATTCTGTTGCCAACAAAACACGGGCGCAGTTGCTTCGGGGCGGATGCATTAAACCGTCCTCCAGGTACCAACAGCTTTAGAGTATTATTTTGGGCCACTGGTGACAGGTAATATGGGCACTGCTAACGGCTCCGGTGCCACAGGGCATCTGAATTAACGGCCTCGGGCTTGTGTCACCTCGTCGTGCCGGGGGGGCTATCAAACGCCGCTATCGGGAAAAGTGTGAATGCGCTGCATCGTCGTGATTCGTGATAGTTGTAGCCTGGAGGTGCCACACGCCGGGGCGCAAACCCAAAGTGCTTGGTATTACCTTGGTCGGAAAGTTGCTTTGCTTCGATTTTTATCTGCGCCGCGCGCGTCCGAATTACGCCTTCGTTTGTTGGTAATTGGGGAAAAGCGCGTCCCGACGAGTACGCAATGCGAGTGACCTGTGCCAGGGACCATACGGTGGCGCGCGACGGGGATCATAGAAGGTTGGTTTGGAACTGAGTATCTGTGGACGCGCTAGGACGCATGACATATTACGGTCTTTTTTCTCCCCCGAATCTTCCGACCACTACGGTACACTTGCTGGAAGCCGGGAGCTCAAAAAAGGGGATGGTCTAACGTTCTGAATAGACTTTTCAGTGAAGCCAATGAAGACTAGCCTCAATGCGCAGCCTTGGCGTAAGATGGCCGCGTTCCTTGACTGACATTCCATCACCCATGAGACGGAGCAGAGCCAACATGAGCATTAAGGACTGTAGAATAGGTCTAGCGTCTCAAAAGGCGTGAATTACACGTCACGCTCAGAGGCGCGGCGCGCAGCAGCGACAACTTCAGCAAAAATCACACCCTTTCTTACCTCCGCATCCTTCGTATCCTTCGTCCTTCGTTTTTGGTGGTACTCAAGCTCACCTGCAGCTTTTTCCTCTTTTGCTTTCTGCAATGCCTCGCCATCGTGCTGCCCAGACACCTGTCGAAGACACCAGTCCAATGCACTCTCGACGCGTCCTTTCAGGGCATGTGCTTCTTCTGTCTGGTGAAATGCCATGTAGTTCCGGAAACCGAGCCATAGATAGAGAACCAGGGTCTTGTGCATGTCCTCGAGGACCCGTAGCGCATTTGTGAGTTCCTGAGGAGCAGGAACAACACCCTTGCTCATCCGCTTCTCGACACCTTCAAGCGTTTTCATCAATGGTGCAACGGCGAGAACGGCGTCGAGGTCAACTTGAACTTCACGTTTGTACAGGCGGGTGATTTGTGTGAGAATATCTCGCGCGCTTGGATCTCGCCAACTCGTTGGACAGTTCTTTAGCATGAGTTTATCGGCTAGAAGCATGTCCCGGGCGCGTAAATCTATGAACTTGACCATATCTTCTAGTTTACTAGGAAGAGCGGCCCTGAATGGCGGACGGACTTTAGAGACATACGACGGGACCTCGAAGAGTGCCTGGATAGATGACTCGGGATGAAGAATTTGGGCAATGTCTTCCATCCAGCTTTCTGTGGGGTCGATAATGGCATATATTAGTGCCTCCGGAGGAGAGGAAAGTGCCGATTTGAGGCGCGGGAGATCCTCCGGATGTAGTGTGGTCACGAAACCACCCGGGTCACCATGTAGACCATAACGCCCAGCTCGGCCGGCTATTTGTTTGATTTGTGACACAGATAACGAGCGTTCAACGTAGCCGTCGAATTTGTTCAAAACCTCGAAGACCACGCGCTTGATCTTCCTTGAGAAGAAGTGAGGCGCGCGGCAGCGAGGAGAGGATGTTAGCGTCACTTACAAATTCAATCCCATTCCAATGGCATCGCTAGCTACAATGACATCGTAGCCACTTTTGGGATCATTGAAAAGTGCGGCTTGCTCAGACCGAATTTCAGGGGGGAGTTTGCCATAAGCGACAGCGCACAGTAGTCCGGTACTTTCCTCCACCCGCTTTTTCAGCGCGAAGATATTGTTGCGAGAAAAGGTGACGAGACAATCACCCTTCTGAATGCGCGACAGGTCACCACGAAGTGACTCGCTTTGAACGACCAACGGCGTGAGCCGTTCGTATCGATTAACGACGAGTTCATCGCCCGTGTGCTTCAATATTTGTTCAACGACAGGTACGGCGGCTTCCTCGCCACAAAGGTGCAATTCGCGCGCAGCGATGCCCAGTACGGCCATCGTCCATGCCGATCCTCGCGCAGGATCTGCGATCATCTGTATTTCGTCCACGACAGCCACGTCTAGTTGCGTATCCAACGCCGCCATCTCCACTGTACAACTAAGCAACGACGCCGAATCCGACACGACCCTGAATTCCTCGCCCGTGCGGAGATTGCATTGTCTGATATATTTGGTGTTCCCCTGCTTCCGTAGCGTAGGCCTAGCACCGGTCTCCTGGACGATGTCCGAATTGATAGAGGTGTCGGGTTCAGCCTCCTCTTCTGGAGACATACCCAGTGGGACTATTTGTCCCTTGTTCAGCCGCTCCCAGATTTCATGTGCGAGTAGACGTAGTGGGCCTGCGTACAGACCTGACTGTGCAGCTGCGAGTGCGCGCAGAGCCATATGTGTTTTTCCGCTGTTGGTAGGGCCCACATGCATGATAATCTTCCGTCGCATGGAACGCGCAACGGGGAAGAGGTCAGCGGGAAAGGAGAGATCGGCAATCCTGTATAGCCGGGAGATAATGTTCAGTGTGGACATGGGTACGCGTCCCCGGAGAGCAGCTTGCGTAGCTGGGTGGGATACCCATGCGAAGAAGAGTTGGGTGATGACCTGATCGACACGCTGTCCCGAGGATGTCTCTGCAGGTGTTAAAATGAAGCTGCCAAAGTCCAAATCTGCAAGGCGTTTCTCATCCGAAAGCATCCCGTCGTGGATATCATCTAGGAAAGATCCAAGCAATTCTTCGATGTCTGCCCTTGGAATTCCGAATGAGAACATGCGGCGGTGGACGTGTGGAAGGAGGGCCCATTGATCGACTTTGGTCTCGATGGTCAGGATGGCATCATTGGCATCGCTGACGGCGACGTCGTCCAATTCGTGTGGTTTCTTTCCTATGAAAGTCGTCTTTCGTGGTCGAGAAAAGTCGGCTCGAGAACGCTGGCGGGTCTCGCAAGGGCCGATCTTCTTTCGAGGAGGGCTGGAGCGGAACCGTCGAAAGTACGCCTGGTTAGCCTCCAACCAGCTCCCGGTCGATGACGACAAGACTGCACGAGACAACGAAAGACGACATCGAGAAAAAAACATGTGGTCTGACTACAAACTCTAATTACGGGTGATCCGACACAAGTGTTTGGTTTTGTTGCAAGTCCACCATGGCAGCGAGCATCACCCCAAGTCGACTGGCCGCACTGGTCAAAACTCGCTGTCAAATATTCCAGACGGCGTACAACCCGACGTCTGCACGAACAGGTGCAAAATACCTCCGTGCTCGTCTACGCGGACCATCAATGGTCAAGTACTACCCGCCAGTGGCCAACATCGCTGAACTGGCCAGGACATACAAGAACGCTGGTGTGGTGGACTTTGCGGAGGCACAGAGATTGAAAGACGTCGAAGATAAGAAACGGAGAGGCAAAGGTGCACCGGCCAAAGCCAAGGACAAAGGTATGCGCTTTCCCTTGCAAAATAACTGCCAGTTGACGTCGAATGCAGGACAAAGTCGCAGAACGGCTAGGAGACGGTAGAGGAGGCGGGTTTCTTGTCTACATATATCCTACAGTATACTTCGTGTTGTCAATCCGTCTCCATCACAGCCAGAGTGTTGTCTGGAGGCCCGGTGAAATTTCCCATCTCAGCCAGCGTGTTTGCAAACAAGTCATTGAACTCCTGAAGGAGACCTTCTCGTTCCAACTGCAACTCATAGTCCTCGCCATTTGGAGTCGATCCCGCCAACCACTCCTCTAAGCCAGCTGTGCCAGTCAGGAGCAAGCTTCGCAACCTCGTCCTTTCTGTTTGACTTGCTGGCGTGGATTGGATGGTTGTGTTTCCAAATTGCATCAGGTCGACAGGGACAATGAGGTCGACACCTTCACCCTTGGTTGGATCCCAAATCTGAGAACGGAGCACGGCTACCCATGCCTGGTCGAGGTCATCCATGAAATCCAGCAACTGCCGGAAGTCAGCCATGTCAGGGGGATAACCCGTCACCGAGTTCATGATATCGCCAGTCAGTCGAAGTAAGAACGTTGTCCGTAGAGGCGTTGAAGGGTCGACGGGTGGTATTCGTAGAATGAATGCCAGCAAGGTTTGCATGGCATTGAGATAGGAGGACAGTGTGGGCAGCGTCGTCATTGAAGGCTCCGAGCTTTGGTTGCTGTCAGACTGCTGTCCGCTTCAGATGCAATGACGAGCTCACCGTTTCTTGAACGAACTGGTGATGTCCAGGAAAGTGTCCTCAACATATTGAACGGCCTTGCGCTCCTGTGTTTTCGAAAGTGGAGTGGTGACATTCATTGAGGGGGTGTATATGCCGGGCGCTATCACCAGTCACTAACGTTCCAACCAACTACGTCACACCATCAGGCCGCCATTACTACCTGGCATCTCAAATCCGACACTCTCAAGCAAGGGCCCTGGGCCACCAAAGCAGCCCCTCGACCTTACGTGCGACGACATTCTCTACTGGCTTTCTTATCTCTCGGCTGACACGCTGTGCCCGACACGGATCTAGATACCATCGTACGGTCGAACTACTGCGATTCCGATACTGGCATCATCCCGGTATCTACCTGTCCCCTGGATGCTGTGATCTGGATAGCTCTTCAAGGGGAACGTGCATGACGTCTGTCAACCGCTGTCGGCGATGAGGCTTCTATCAAATTGTAGGTCGAATTTCCGATGGAGGACTTCCGAGGCTGTGGCCTGGACAACCATATTAATGAAGAACTTGAAGTGTGGATACTATCGGTTAGACCAACGTGTCCGATGCTGGCGGCGTTCCGAGGGTACCAGTAGCAAGCACAGAACGTGCTTTTTGCTCGACTCGGAGCTGTCTCACACTGAATATCCTTGTCCCCGAGTTACTGAATTCAATCAGATTCCGCTCAGCCGTTTGAAATCGGTGGCGTACTGCAATCGCGCAACCTTGGTTGCTTCAGTCGTGCGCAATCCGAGCTCAGGTAGGGTGAACATCCCGAAAGGTTGCTCACATTTATGCGGAATGGCTGGACTTGTAAGGCTTTGGCTAGTGATTATTTGCTGTCGCTCGTGTAGGGACTATTCTCTTGTTTTGGCTTTTCATTTGTGTTTTGCCCACGACGATGTTTGCTATTAGAAGGGTGGCTTCGGGGCGTGTAACGAGGCTGTCAGCCAAGTCGAGTCCATATCATACTGCGGTCACACTCTACGACGCACAGGACACCCCGGGGCCATCCACGTGGCGTCGTCAGACTTGCCGTGCCAAACGGGAAAATGTAGAGCTCAATGACCAAGAAGGTTCAGATGATGCGCTCCCAGCAGCAGCCAAAAAGAAGGCGAAGGTCGTGAAGACAGCAACATCAGTAGCAACGACAGAGACGAAGTCCAGGTCACCCAAGAAACCAAAAGTGATATGCCAGGGTTTAGACATACCTCATCTGGCCCTGGAGTGATGGAAAGAGGCATAGGATGCAATCAAGGAAATGTGCTCAAGGATAACTACTCCAGTGGATATGATGGGTTGTGACCAGGCACAATCATCAGTAAATCACTTTTGCTGGCCAGAGCTGTCCAGAGCTGTCCAGCACTGGACAGATTCCCTAGGACTACCAGCTCACAAAGTGGTCTACTGATGATGGAAAGAACAAGACCCAAAGGTATGTCCATTCATCACATCCTGGCTTTCCAGTGACTGCATGAATGATGTCCTACTTACTTCAAAAGTAGAACAGGTGCTTCACTACACTCATTTCTCTGATGCTTTCATCACAAACAAAGGATGAGGTCACAGATGCTGCAGTGGCCAAACTACATATTGGAGTAGGTGGCTCACTTTCTGTAGACACTGTCATAGCTGTAGAGGAGGCTACCGATGTGAGTCAAAGTGTGGTTCAGTGGTGAAAACCAACCAAAACCAACACAAAAGACAAAAGGAGCAAGTGGTGGTGTGCCTATGTGGTACCTAGATGGTAGAACCTGTTCTTTGGGAGGGTTTTTGTGAGCTACAACACTCAAAGACAAGTGTGGAGGGTTGGGGGTGCTCCTGATGAAGAAGAAGCAGGAATGCAAGAGAATGCGATAGGGTAGACTGCTGTCAGCCTACAGAAGGATGGATGACAACTTAATTCAATGTCCTAAGCTGCACTGAGCTCAGGGAGGGCTTGGAGCAAAGTATATTGATGATAGACAAGGATAAGTGAAGTAGATGATAGTTAGACCCTTAATAAAGTCTCAACTATCAAAGCTGCTGAATGAATTACTGAGTGATGATAAAATGTGAGCAAGAGGGGCTCTCTGACATCTTCTTTTGTTTTGCTATCTAAGTACAGTGATTTATATACAGTACAGGGGTGTTGCCCTTGGAAAACAAGGTGCAAACACTTGGTAAGTGATTGGTAACTGATGAGTAAGGAATGTAAGCAATGGGTAATCATCTTGGAAAGCATTGGTAAGCTTTGGTAAGGATTAGCAAGCCAAAAAGCAAAGAATCAGTAAGCAAAGTCAAAAGATTGGTAAGTATTGGCAACAGGTGAGTCAAAGACAGTCAGAACGTCAAAGTATGAGTCAAGTGATGTCAGGAACTGAGAAAGCACACTGGAATCACATTAGGGGGAGGCTGCACACATGTCACATCTCAAAGAGATTGCTTCTAGGCCAAGGTGGGATGACAGAGAGGCAGTGCTGATCTGATGCTGATATAGTACATCCAAAAGTGGACAGGGTGAGTCAGATGTCAACAGGGGTCAAGCCTTGGGGGTCTGTGGGGTGAAAGGAGCATAGGGGATCACAACTTTCCCCCCCAAACCATCCTCTCAGTGAAGCAAATAAAAACTTCATGAACAAGGCCCTGTTGGAAGAGAGGATGAATGGGGAGTGTCTTCTGCTGTATCTTGCAACAAGGAGGCAAGATGTGCATCATACTCATCATGGATGCAATCAGGGAGAGTGGGGAACAGTAGATTACACTGTAGCTGTTGCAATCTTGGAAGAATGATGGATGAGACTGGTATGAAGACATTGCAGGGAGCAGGGAGGAAGGATCCATATGCTTCTTGGACTGGAGAGACTGAAATGACCACATAAGACCTTTCCAAGTGAATGACAGACCTGAGGTGACCAAAGAATGTCCTCCTAGAGGTCATACTGACAAAAAGGACACACTGTCCAAGCTGGATGGGCTGAGAGGGCACAGATGAGGGTGGGATGTACCAGGATGCTTCAGGACAGAAGCTGGTAGGAACTCCTGGTAGATATATGTAGCCATGGTCCCTAGCAAAGGGGACAAGTGAAATGATTGATGTAGAGGCAGCCATATCAGAAGAATTTAGTGAAATGAGCATCTTTTGGAGGGAGTGCTGTAGAAACATGTGGAGTGTGCAAATCCTTTCCAATTTTGGAAGGTAAGATCATGTGGCTGAGCACTACAAGCAAGTGTGGGAACAGTCTTGGTATCTGCAGAAATGGTGGAGATATGTCAAAAACCAGAATGCCATACATGGGTGCTTAAGAATTTTAGCCAGCACTTAACTTGCTCCCTTTCTTTTTCTCTGGCACTGATGACTTGTTCTTGTGCGAGGGATGACTGCCAACATTCCTGGCTGTCCTTCTTCACATGAGGGCTATGGTCTTCATCTCCATTCATCCTGTATCCATGTCCACCTCACCAAACACCTTTGGTGTGTGACAACACATGGAAGACAGAAATACCAAACTTCAACCTGGAGAGTATTCCATCATCAAGGAGTTTCCACTTTTGACAACTATGCTCCAATTGACAACTAATGTCATATAAGAGGCCAACAGTCATCTTGGCAGGGAGATGGTCAAAGAGATGTTTCACCAGCACTAGGGCATAGTGCTGGTTTTCCCTTGTTAATGTCATATTAACCAACCAGAGAACATGATCATGATGACACAACAAAGCCATAAGCCCTGTATCTGCAAAAAATTGTGTGCTGGCCTTTTGCCTCTTCTCATCTGCTGCATGGAAAGAATCTCCACACCCATCCAACACAGAGGCAGGTGTTGGAACATAAAGTGCCCCTGTGGTACTTGACCACTGTGCGATGTTTTGGCTGATTACATAAGCTGAAATAGCGCACCTACTTGTAGTATTTTCTACTAGTATTCCCTCAGTAGTTTGTTCACTACTGAGGGTAAGTCTATTTATATTACAAGTATTCTACTATACTGACATCCTGTAGTAGCCTACAGGTACATTAATACACTCAGTAGTTTGTTCACTACTGAGGTAGCCTACAGATATTTCAACAAGAATGGGCTTCAGAAAGCAATAACCAGGGTCCACAATGCCCAACTTGACTCTGGACATATCCTTCAAAGCTTTCCTCCAAGCCAATGCAAACAGACTGTGGGGCTTGGGGATTTCTGGAAGATCAGACTCTTTCCACCTCACTGAGTCCCCACCACCTGATTGTTTGGGGTGCAAAGCTACAAGTTGGTCAGGAACAAGCAGAAAGAAAATTAGGGTGCATACCTCTGGAGGGGCCTGCAGCCACTTGTTCCCTGGCAGCCCTTGTCTGCTTTTTCATTGATTACTTCCTGGTGCTTGAAGATGGGTTTGACAAGGATGTGGCAAATGATTCTTGCAGGGGCTCTGGTTGCTCCACAAATGTACCCTCATAGTCCCTGTGAGCATGAATGTGGCACAGGAGACTGCCAGGACCACAGTAGATTGATGGGAATGGCTTAGCTACCCCCTTTTCTGAATACATAGCTTTCACTATGTCTTCAGGGCATGTCAATTCCACAGGCTCCTTGATATTCATATCAGGGGAGATGTATGCCTTGGTATGCATGAGCCAGACTGGCACCCCAATGAAATACAGTGCTTCGCAAGTGGCAGTATCCTTTGTGAAGCACCCCATCCAGGTGGGGTTTGCACATACAGGTTTTGAGCAGGGAGATGAAAGAAGCAGGTAGAGGATCTCAATGTATTTGAGCAAAGCATAAATGTCAAGCAGCTTGTGCTGAAGCTGGGCAACAAAAATGATGAGGTCTTGGAATAAAAGGGGGTGATGCTGCAAGTGCAAAACCTTGTGTTGAACTGACTGCACTAGTTGGGTCATAAGGTCTTGACCCACAGGTCAATTGCAGAGGGGGTGGTAGTGGCTGTGCAGTTGCTGAAGTAGCTCCTCAAAGGCCTTGACCTTTGCCTCTTCAAGCATTCTCACCAGATACACAGAGCTGAGTGGAAGGATGAAATCTGCAGATATCAGAGTGAACCAACCAATATTGAGAGTAGGGACTGTATTTTTTTGAGGTATGTGAACAGCATATTCATAGTTTTTTTTTTCATATGTTTGTGGCCATTGGAAGCAATTGACAAGGCTGAACAAACCATTGGCATGTGGACAAAGATCAACTTCTTTGAAAATGTATGGCTCAGGAACAAAGTCTGCATTGGGCAACATGATCACCCAGCAGTCCTTGCACACAACCACACATGCATCCAGTGATGTAATTTTAGCTGTGCATGCTAAGTAAGCTCTGGGAAAACACAAAAGTAGAGGAACATACCATTGCCAGGCCAGGTAAATGCTTTGAAGAAGGTAAGTGCAGTCCCCCAGGACATTTTCACTTGTGTTGGAATTGAGCTGCAAGGAATAATGGTCAGATCATGTGTAGATTAGTTGGTGACAGGGTGAAAGGCATGTAATTAAATACTCACCTTTGTGAAAGAAAGCAAATGAATGTTGGTGGAAGGAGAGGGTCCAGTGTCACACACCAAAGGTGATGTGGACATGGTTATAGCTGACTCTGCCTGACTCATCAATGAGTTGTGCACAATGCCCATGCCATGCAGATGAAGACTAAAGGCCTCATGCATAGAAAGACTGCTGGATGTTAGCAGTCATCCTTTGCACAAGAATGAGTTGTCAGTGCTAAAGAGAAAAGAGGAAGCAAGTTAAGTGCACATTAAAAGTTTTTAGCACCTGTGTACAGCATTCCAGTTTTTGTCATATCTCCACCATTTCCAAAGATATCGACTCTGTTCTCACACTTGCTTAAAGTGCTCAGCCATGTGATTTTGCCTTCCAAATTTGGAGAGGATCCTTGCACCCTACACATTTCTACAGCACTCCATCCATCAGATGCTCATGTTGCTAAGAATCATCTCAATTGTCTTGTTTTCCAGAGACAGTAGCTATGTATATCTCCCAGGCATTCCCACCAGCTTCCTTCCTGAAGCCCCCTGGTTCATCCCATCCTTGTCAACCCCATCCCATCCCATGCAGCTTGGTCAGCATGTTCTCCTTGTCAGTATGACTTCCAGAAGGACATTCTTTGATCACCTCAGGTCTGTCACTTGGTTAGAAAGGTCATATGTGGTCATTTTAGTCTCCCCAGTTGATGAAGCATATGGATTGTTCCTCCCTGCTCCCTGCACCATCTTCATTCCAATCTCATCCATCATTCTCCCCACATTGTGACAGCTGCAGCATAATCTACTGTTCTCCAGCCTCCCTGATCACATTCATGATGAGTATGACATGCATCTTGCCTTCTTACTGCAAGATCCAGCAGAAGACACCCCCCCTTCTCCTCCTCCTCCATCAGAGCCCCATTCATGAAGCTTTTGTAAACTTCACTGAGAGGATGAAAGGGTGGGAGTTTTGAGAAGGGACCAAGGTTGCAGGGTGAACTAGAGTGTGAAAACTGAGTCTTCAAAGTAGGACAAAGTCTGAGGTACAAGGAAAAATGAAGTGGCTAAAATGTATGGAAATATTATGTAAGCAGTACTCCCTGTACAGAACAGCAGTATGTTCCAACAGGGAGATGTGATCACATATGCTCCCATTGCCCCACAGACCCCCAACACCCTAGCCCCTTTGACACCTGACTCATGCCCTTCAATTCTGGAATTAATACTTCCCAATCTGGAAACACCATCCATCTGTCATGCCATCTTTGGATCTAGAGATGTCTCTGCCAAGATCTGACATGCATCACCACCCCCTAATGTGATATCAGTGCACTTACTCAGTTTCTGACTCCATTTGACTCATTCAGTGATATTTTGACCATCCTTGACTCATTCATTGCCAATACTTACCAATCCTCTTTGCTTGCTTACTTTTCATTTCTCACTTACTCATCATGATTACTCAGTCCTTACTCATTACTTACCAAGTGTTTGTACCTTGTTTGTCACAAGCTGTGCTCCCCCCACAGTATATAAACCCCCATGTACTTAGCTACAACTCAGTGAACCAGAAGCCATTCACTCAGCAGTCAGTTCAGTTCAGCTCAGGGATAACTCATCATCAACAGTTGAGGCTCCATGAAGGGGTCTATCTGTCATCATTTGTATACTTGGTAGTTGAGGCTCATTCAGAAGAGTCTATCTACCATCCTTCATCATCTGCAGTCCACCCCACACTTAGTCAGCAGTTTTTGCTTAGTCATCCCACTGCTCCTGTGTAACTCAACATTGACTTGTGCTAGGAGTCCTTTTGGCTGAACACCCTTTCTCTGTTCAGCATCCCCTTCTCAATCAGCATTCATTCATCTTCTCCTGTGTAACTTGTCATCGACTTGTGCTAGGAGCACCTCCACTTGAAGTCCCCCCCACATTTAGATTATTCTGCACTCCAGGTTCTGCAGAGGCAAACCACCACTTGCTCTTATTTGTCTTTGGTGTTGGTTTTGGTTGGTTCCTACCACCTTTCCACACTTTGACTCACACCAGGATCAAGGGCAGGGTGAATGATGGGGTGAATAGCATGTAAACAACATGCACCTTTATAAAAGAAAATACAAGTATGACAGTGATAGGAGAAGGTCCAGGGCAAAGGGTGTGGTAAACAATGGTGTGAATGGCATGTAATTGGCATGCACCTTTTATGAAAGAAAATAAGAACATGACAGTGATGGAAGAGGATCCAGGAAGAATGGCAGGGTGAATGATGGGGTGAATGGTGGGGTGAATGATAGGGTGAATGGTGGGGTGAATGGTGGGGTGAACAACAGGGTGAATAGCATGTAATCAAACATGCACCTTATACAAGAAAGTAATGGAAGGATGACAGTGGGAGAGGATCTGGGGTAGAGGGCAAGATGAACTCCTTGAGGTCTTGAACCCCACTAGCAGTGTGGTGGTGCTGGGGCAACCCCAGTGATGTGAAGTCAACAGAGTGTGACCTAAAGTGACACAAAGTCAACTTCAGGTCAAGATGAGCAGCACAAAGCCAACTCAAACCCAATGGGAGAAGATGTGTGTTGTGGGGAGGGACTTGAGACCTTGAGAGGGGAGGCACTGAGTGACAAAGCGAGGAAGGGAAGGGTAGTAGGATGAAGAGCAGTTGTGGTCAGAAAATCATAAGTATTTGTTTGTTTGTAGGGATTTACCTATTATGCTTATGTACATATATTGATAGTGACATTTGATGTGATAGCATAGAGAATTCCCAGGGCAAAAATACTTAAGTCATGGGACCATGTTCCAGCTGCACAGTGCCCAGCAACTCCACACTTTGTTATGAATGACTGTCATCCTCTCACCTCCTCATCATCATCTTCCCACTTGCTGCCTCTATGCTTCAAGTTTTCATGTGTTGGCTGAACCTGAGCTGGCTCCATGCCACTCACTCAGAGCTGCAGCTGACTTTGTGTTGCTGCAGTTCATACTCTGTTGACTTTGCATCACTGAGGTCACCCCAGCACCACTGCACTGCTAGTGGGGTTCAAGACCTCAAGGAGTTTGTCTTGCCTTTCACCCCAGATCCTCTCCTTCCTTCTCACAAAGCTATGTTTTGTAGCACTATTCCTTCCAGCTGATTCTAAACACCTATGTTCATTCATTAGCACTGATCTCATTTCTCCCCTGGGTCACTGTCACTCTGCCTAATACTGCTGTCTGAGGTATGTCTATTGTTAGCAGATGTTGATCCTGACTCATTATCATTTTCAGGTGTGAGGTTTCAATCACCTTGTTCAAATCTGTGCTTGTCACAATTCTCATTATCAGGTATGAGATTTAAATCATTTCATTTGTCTGTACTTGTCATGTCCCTCACCCACCCACTCTGTGCTGTATTGCAGTCTGCAGTAGGTGTATTGTTATTGGCTGTTGATCCCTGCTTATCATTATTATAAGGTATGTGCTACTGTCACTTTTCATTGGACTTACAAATCTGATCATGTTCTTTAATATCTAGGTATAAGTTATCTTGTTCATCTCCACTCAACCACTCACCTCATTCTGCACCCACCCACTCCATGTTGAATTGCAGTTTGTGGTAGATATATAGTTATTGACTGTCAATCCTCACTTATCATTGTTATGAGGTATGTCCAACCTTTGCATTTCATTGGACCTACAAATCTGATCATGTTCTTTAATATCTAGGTATAAATTATCTCCATCAGTGCTTGCCTCATTCCTCACTCACCCACTCCTTGTTATATTGCAGTTGGAGGTATATCTATCATCATCAGGTGTTGGGCTGACTTATTGTCACTATCAGGTATGCATGTGTCAGTCTCTTTTTGTTAGATTTATGAATCTTATCACCCTCTCTAATATCTAGGTATAAATCATCTTGTTGGTGCTCACCTCATTCTTCACTTGGCCCACTGCTATTGTAGTCTGAGCTATGGATATTGTTACATACTCTTGATCTACAGTTACTGTTGTTATCAGGTATGTCTTGTGGTCTGTTTACATTGTTTTACAAATGCAGTCAGCCTCTCATAATCCCTAGGTACCCATCTCATTTGCTAGCACTGTTGATCATGGCAGAAATAAAGTTTGATGACAATGCTCCCAGAACCAAGTTTCTGGTAATGATCTCCTTCCATTCCTCACCAACTCAGTGCTGTATGTAGTCCAAAGTACCCATATCATTGTCAACTTGGTTCACTGTTGCCATCAGGTATGTGTAGTGGTCTCTGTTTGTTGGATATAAGAATATACCTGCTCTAGTTACCAGGTATACATTATCCTGTTCATTGGCACTTGTCTCATTCCTTACCCATTCCATCTGGTACTGTTGTCCAAGGAGGTATGTTTAAATCTTTTTGTTGAATCTACAAACATTATGAAATAGATGTCAAAATAAGGTTTAATGTCAATGCTCCCTGAACCTAATTTCTTATAGTGATCTCATCTGTATTCCAAGGTACCTGTATTGTTATCAACTGTTCACTGACACATACCATGGTTATTTGTCAAAAGAATATATCAACCTTGAGCTGCTGTCTGTAGGTTTGACATCAACTTTTTGTTTTTATTATATTTTCTGCTCATAATGACAATGACAGTCCTACTCTATTGGTTGACATGCTGCATTTTTTCTCTGCCCTGAATGCCAGATTTCCATTCAATTGGTCCTTCTCAATAGGATTGTGCAAGCTAGAAGGAAGCAAGGGTGCTAGTGTGAATTAGGTGTGTAGGCTTCTTCCAAGACCAAATAAATAGCTTGGTAGTGAACATTTCATCCTCTGTTTTCTCTTCTTCCTTGCCTTCTTTTCTTCACTCACTTCAAATCAGGTGTGTAACCCTTGTGCAAGATCATAAATCATCCACTAACCAATGTTTGGCCTGAACCCAGTCTTTCCTTACCCAGTCATTCCTTACCTGAATGTCTTTTCCTTTCCATCTCACTTGATTTCACATCAGCAAAGAGTGTGTGGTGACTACATGTTCCACAGTTCCACTGGCCCACAGTTTGACTACATGTCTACCAGGTCAAATTCATCATGCCTGCAACTAGGTCATCTGATGTTACTTTCAAAGTTGGTCCCCCCACTGGTGCCTGGAGATCAAAGAAAGTCAATCCTACCATCATTTTGCCCACCAAAGCCCAACCTTCATGTGGTGCAAAGGCCCATCACCAGGTAGTCAAATGTGAGTACAGACCTACATCCTGTGTCTTGTGTACTACTGTCTCAACTCTTTCCATCAGCATGAGGCAGAAATCAGGATATGATTTCTGAAACACACAAGCCAATGTCAGGGGATGGTGAGGAGTGCCTGGTGTGTAGCACTACCTTTTTTTTTTTTCCTGCTTACTGATCACTGTTTTCAGAACAGCAAATCCAGCTCTGTAGCTCAACATCCCCTTCTCCAGCCATGCTCAAGTTGCAATTCTTCACAAGGGTTGACAGAGAAAGAATGCAAGGATCAGTACCTTGACTCCTTCTGGACAAAACAGGTTGCACTCCAGAATGGTATGAAGCTTGACTGCACTGTTGCCCTTGAGCAGCTATGATTGGGCATCATTTCTATGGAAGATATAGTTGCTGAGCAGGGTCATGAAAAGTGTAAGTGTGTGATCTATGTATGTAGCTGTATTCCTTCTCAAGGTTGCCACCAGCTGTTACCCCCAATGACAGTGAAGAGGATGAACAAGCTGTTGAGAGTATGGTGCAAGCTGAAGGTGATCTGGTCTCAGAGAACCTGGTGGATGATGATGGTTGCCAAGCTGTTGAAAATATGATGGATGTCATGATGATGTTGAGCATGAAAGTGCATCAGATTTGTTTATTTGATTAAACTGCATTATTCACATAATTTCATTGAATAGACAGTGATTGGTCAGCTGACCAGAGGCATGACCTTAAATGCAAACAAACCCTGAGAGAAATATGTGCTGGCAATTATGGTACTGATAACCATCCTTCCACTCCTCCTCTCCATTCTCCATCAGAAGAAGAAGAAGAAGAAGAAGAAGAAGGAGCTGCTGATACAAAAGGTGACACTGACAGCTCTGTGACCAGGAGGCATAGGGAAGCCAAAGGGAAATCTCATGCCCTAGCCAACACATCCTCTGAAGATGAGGATGGACCTAGTGACACTGGAGACCTCCCTGATGGCTTGGAGATGACTGGGATGCAGGGAAACCCAAAGGATGACATTGTGCCTTCTGCAAGGTAGTAGTCACACCCTCTGCACCTACCCTAGCCAGTGACCTCAGTCAATGTGAGGATGCATCCAGTGCAGAAGCAGGCTTACTGCACTTCAAACCAGGGCAGCTTCCCTTGGAAGCCATATGAAAGGCACAGGCACTTGGCATGCACACCACTCAAGAAGCCCAGGCAATTGCAGATGAATATGGCAAGACTCTTGGGTTAATCATGGCTGCTGCTGGTCTTACCACAGAGGCAACCCATGCCGAATTTGTATGGAACATGCATCAGGCTTGGTATGCACATACCAATCCAAAAGTGTCTGTGGGTCAGTACATCCAAACTTGTTGCAGTTTCAACTCCACATTGATTCAATCACAGAGGAAACCAAAGACTATTATAGGTGTCACACCAAGAACTATGAGGACCATAAAGATGAGGAAGAACATCCTCAACTGTGGGCTGAGATCTGGAAGCATTGGAGTGAGTGTGTCAGCAGGTCCAAAGACATCAGTTCCAAGGCAATGGTGGGCGATGTAATGGCTTGCCATGACTCCTTTACACAAGGGGTGGGTAATGCCTTCATGATTGTTTGCTTCTTGAATAATGTCTTGTGCAGGAACAAAATTGGTGCAATGTGGAGGGCATACATGTCTTTGGATGTGTAATTTATAGTGGGAGTGATGAAGCTGCATGCCAATCCCAAGGAATTTTTGCTGGATCCTCCCTTCTCATGCAGCTTGTGAGTGAGAGGCAGACCAACATAACACAATTATTAGAATACCTGTCCACAATTATCAAGTATGTATAACATATGCCATGTACAATTGCCCACTGATTTTTCTGTGCCTCTTCCTGACTTTAATGTGCTGTCACAACCCCATTATGACCATGCACTGGGATTAAAACCTCAAGAATACAGGCATGATTGCAATTAGTGAGTTTTACCTACAATCATACTTCATAAATTCTGTACATCAATAAATCTATTTGATTCATATTCATCCTCTGAAGTGCTGCCACAGAAGAGAATGGTATCACAGAAGGCCAGAGAAATGTTTCTTGGAAGTCATTGCTTGATCTGCTGTATGTTCACCAGTATACCATCACTGATTGGCCTGCTGGAGTCCCTGCTGTTGGGCTGGATTTCAATGTCAAACACCTCAATGCTGATGAACTTCATGCTCTGACTGTTCCATTCCTGAAAGAGTCAATGGGTGCAGATTACCTTGCTGAGGCTCCACTAGATGGTGAGTTGTTGACATGAAATGGTCACCCTCACTGACATGAATAATCCAGATCAGATTGAACTATTTGCCACAGTGATGCAAGGATGTGTGACATCCTGCTTGTGGTGAACACATTGAACTGGCACCTCCTTGTTCTTTCTGATTCAGATGCATTTGTTAAGGCCCTCCCCAAAGGTGACAAGTTTAAGGAGAGAAGTGCCCCTTCATCTTTCCCTGACCAACCTGTGTGAGGATGAGTGCCATCCAATAGACATCACCCCTTGCCAGCAGCATCCAACACCCATCATATGACTGCACCTTCTTTATTCCCAGCTTATAGATCACCCCAGCCACCTGTGCAGCACCATGTGTCTCCCTCAACATCCCACCACACCCAATGACAGCAATCACCATGCTGCACATGTCACCCCTCTCCTGCAGGATCACACCACCTGAGGTGAGGGCAACTGCCATCCTATGGACATTGTTCCACTCAACCAGCATCCAACCACTCCCCTCTCCCTCCTTCATCCCCTGTCAAGGAGTCACTGCAGTCATCTCCACAAGGGCCATTGTTGCATGGTGATCATCACACATATCTTGCTCCAGCAACTGCATATCATCATTGCCCCCCTTCTGATAACTACCCTCTGACCCCATGTCCTTGCCACTGCCCTCAGCATGAGTCACACAAGCAGTATAGAGGATATCAGGAAAATGAGAGTGATCATGGTGGTCCTTCACAACAGGGAAGAACTCACTGAAGGTATGTTGCTGGGTAGCCTACATGTACAATGAGAATAACATGCACAGTGTGGTTGAATACATTTATCAAAGCCCTCCCCACAAGAGACATCATTGTCATGACTCTGATGACTCTGATGGACATTCCTATGACACCCATGATCAACAAACCCACTACTTGGCATCTTTTCATCTCCATCAATCCCTTTCTATTGGCTCAGGTACACACCAGTTCCACATGTTTGCATTGTTAGCATGTAACTATGATACCCTGTGGCTGTGTCATCTTCCCCCTGCATATCCCCCCTTTGTGTAATGTCTGCCATCATTTGTTTCATCCATTATCCACCATGGTCTTTTTGTTACTATCATAATTACAATACCCTTCCAATACTGTTCATTTTCTCTTCCCACCTATGCATATTCAATCTGATAGCATACCCTATCATAAATACACATTGGATTTAGGTGCAAACTGCTATGTGTGAGATCAGAATGTGAAATCCATGGGACCAGACATCTGCTAGAGCTATCATGTCCATCTGAAGGGCATGGGGCTCTGCCCTAGGCTTCAGGGGGAAGAGTTCTCAGTAGCTACCAACATAGACATGCCACTGTCAATAGTACAGACTGGTGTTCTGCAAGATGAATGCTATTGCTACATGTCATTGCTTATGCTAATTGCTGATGATTGTGCCTTAAGACCACATCATACACACACTTGTTCACTTAGGTGCCAGTGACACTTCCCATTGCCAAGGCATTGGAGGATTCTCCAAGCACATTGGGAATAAACACCACATGAAACACATCTTCCAGTTGAAGCTAGAGTAATATCCTTTGAATCCATTGTGCCATTCTGGATATCAAAAACCAGAAAGAGAGGTCATAGCACTGTTGTCACATGGCACAAGAGCAGACAATTGAGAGGAAAGAGGGAGTTACAGCATCTGGCCAATGGCACAAATAACACAAATATACATTGATGTCTATCCCCTGGACATAACAGAGCCAGTGGGAGAATCACAGCATTTCCTAGGAAATCCCCAGCAGTGCTTGGAGAATCTCCAGATTGGGTGGGAGAATCCCCAGCATTGCCTGGAGAATCCCCAGCAGTGCTTGGAGAATCCCCAGCATTGCCTGGAGAATCCCCAGGGTGAGAGGGAGAATCCCCAGAGTGGGTGGGAGAATCCCCAGCATTTCCTGGTGTCATATACCAAGAAACCCACAGTTTGGTCTTATGTTCAGAATGCCAAGTCAACACTGAATGCTGAAATGAACTCTGTTCCTCACTATACTTTTCTAGTTAGCTTTTGTACTGCCCTCACTTGTGCCAAGGCAGTGTCTGTCTTCAGCTCTCAGACCACTTCAGGTAACCCATTTTCATAAGCATTTAGGCTGAAGTTTTTCTCCAAATCATCCAAGCTAAAAGCCACTCAGACCAGGTCATCCCAGGGACATCTGGCCATGTCCCAGGGCTATTTACAGTTTGCAGGACCTGGGATGTCACATAATCACAGCCCTTTGGTAATATATTTTGGGCTGTCCTATGACTGACTTAGGTGTCAGGGGTCCTCAGCTCAAAAAAGTGCAGTTCATATTCACATTGAAATGCCACTTCTGATCAGAAAAACATACATAGCTGTCATGATCATCCTGGATGATGAGCACACCTGTCAAAGTGGGGGGATATGTGAGTCACTGCCATTCCAAAACCATGTAATACAACTTATGTATTATGCACAGATTTGAAGAATACTGGGCAATCAGTATGTTTGTGTGTGGTGTCATTTCCAGACTCATACAATGCCTATGGCAGTGAGAATTGAATTATTGTAATGAATGTTAATGGATTAGGACCTCTCCCATGAGTGCCTATGTAAGTTCCCTGTCTTACTGCAGAGTGCTCCTTACTAAGATCATACATACTAGATGCATCTCAGCCCCCCTTTCTGAAGGCCAGTGGAATGTCTCATGATAGCTTCAGAGGCCACTGTGGGATGTCCCATGATAGCTTCAGAGGCTACCATGGGACATCCCACCTCCCTCCCTCAAGGCTGATGGGATGTCCCATGATAGCTTTAGAGGCTACTGTGGGACATCCCACCCCCCTCCCTGGAGACCAATGGGATGTCCCATAATAGCTTCAGAGGCTACTGTGGGACATCCCACCCCCATCCCTGGAGACCAATGGGATGTCCCATGATAGCTTTAGAGGCTACTGTGGGACATCCCACTCCCCTCTCTGGAGGCCAGTGGGATGTCCCATGGTAGCTTCAGAGGCTACCATGGGACATCCCATCCCCCTCTCTGGAGGCCAGTGGGATGTCCCATGATAGCTTCAGAGGCTACCATGGGACATCCCACTCCCCTCTCTGGAGAGCAATGGGATGTCCCATGATAGCTTTGAAGGCTGCAGGCATGTCAGTCAATCCCCTTTGGAGACCCATCAAGTCTATTTATTTCTACAGGTTGACAGTATATACCTATGAGATCTCAATGGGTTGGGTATACCCAGCTGCTGCCATGGAAAGTGTTTTCTCCAGTACTATGCCTAGGGACTCTGAGGCAGCCATTGATTTCTCCTGGCATGGTGCTGATCATAAGTGTTTTGTGTTTTCCTCATGCAATTTTCCACTTGCTGATAAGATAGGCATACCATCATGATTGCACAATCAGGAGCCATAACTTTCATTATGATGGCATCACTCCACTATCACTTGCTGGGGTGTTAACACCTACTAGTGCTAGTTGTAGTAGTTGGTAGTGCTGAATAATGTAGGCTAGGCTACACTTTGGTAGTGTGCATTTTTGGCTACTGTTGACTACGAGAAGTGTAGGCTCAAGCCAGAGTGCAAAGGTCACATGACAATTGATCACATGACATAACAGATCACATGACTCAGTCACATGATCGATATCATAATTGTCACATGATCCAAGGTATTGCCAATCCCCCACAAGGAAGTCATGTGACATGTCACTGTCCCAGTCCCATGATCTGTGGTCATGTGATAATTTGTCACAAAGTTGCATAGGGGCACCATGTGACTTGGTGCCTTGGGTCATGATAGTGGTCTGTCACATGCATATCTAGGTCATGTGACCTCACATGACCACATCCATACCTGTGGTCACATGGTCACAAGGGTGATGTGGTCATGCAATTCCAGAGTCATGTGACACCATGTGACTGTACCTACCTTGCATCTGGCACTATGTACCTAGCACATGACTAACTCACCCCTGAATGCTAAGTGTGGCTGTGCTTCAACATGAATCATATCACCACTCATTCAATTCTTGACATATGCATCTGTGAGTTTGCAGGTGGGATGGTCTAGGGGGTATCTACAACATGTTGAAGGATTATCCAATCAAAGTCACTGGTTGAAGAGATATAAGGGGAATGGTAAAAGTGAAAGAACATTGCAGCATGCATCCCATGCATAGTTTATGCAATCCTTAATACCTCAAATGCATTCCCCATGTCCCTAGCTACCTATGTAGAAAGTATCAAGTCAATCCATCAGGAAATGAATGAACAGCACACAAATTACACTTCCCAGATGCATGGGAAAACTCTAAAATGTGCAAATAAAATAGTGGAGATTTACAAAACATATCTAAAACATTGCATTGCAGCCTCCACAGTGCTGCTACACTTACACCAATTCACCTGGCACATGGGGTGGCATGCCCTGCCATAATAACAGCAGGTGCCTAGTGATATCCACAACTAAAATTGTCAAAAATGCAAAATGTGCCCCTCTAATCAATCAGTCCATAAAGATTTAGGCACCATTCACCCTCCAAAGTCAAAGTCGAAGTTTTTGACTTCGACTTCAGCAATGTAGTCACATAATGATTATATAAGCTGTGCATGCCTGTACAAATGCAAAGTCCAAGTTTCAGGCTTCTGCTTCAGTAATGTAGTCATGTGATGATTATATAAGACAACAACACAACTTGTAGTTCAATAGATAACATTGTGATAACAGATCAAACAACTCTGCTATGGATCTTGAAGCACAGCAACTCCAGCACCATCATCATCACCATCTTGCTGCACTTGTAGTAGCAGTGATGATCCAGGTGCTATGCCTCTATGACCTCCTTTTTCATTCTGACTCAGAACCAATCCCCTACCATACCTCAATCCTGACTGGTGAGGGGTGGATGCTAGAGCTCCTGAATGGTCATCCAGACAGGATACAGACTTGCCATTGCATCAGTCATGGGGTTTTTGATCACCTGATGCAGGTGCTCACCCATCATGGTTTTGTGCCTTCTCACAATGGAATTTCTGTGGAGGAACAACTTGGGATATTCCTCTACACCTGTGTTACTGGGTTGTCATCCTGGCATGTTGCTGAGAGGTTCCAACACTCACCAGGGACCATCACTAGGTAGGGAGTTCATTGGACTGTCTGATATTTTTCTCACAATTTTTTAGATATTTCAAAGCAATGTTGGCTTTCTTTTCTGGGGGACAATTCTATGCATC